AAATGAACCCTTAAATGAAAAAATAATAATGATATGATAGCAATCTTGTAACTTAGGGATAAAATACTTGTTGATAAATTTTCGTCTATATGAGATATTTTCATCCTGAAAAGGCACCGTCTGGTGTGAATTATCCGCCTCTTGAGCCAAAAATTTCGTTGCTGTCGAAAGCAGAGCAATTATTCATGTTTGAGACTTGCAAATTCGAACCAAACAAATTCGTTTTTGGCAGTTTTCAACTAGTGACTTTGTTGGCCCAAACAAGACTTGTTTGACAACGTGTTTGTTTTTCTCTCAGTGGATAATAATATACTATATTCTATCCTATATAATATTCTATATGTAATTCCCCTCGAATGTAATATTTTTGTTACTCATTTCTCTATTTATTTCGTAGGGATGCATCGATGATGTCCATGAGAAGGAAAATTGCTGGTCTGCGACCAGATCAAATAAGACAGCTTCCCAAGGAAGAATTGGATCTGCCCGTGTCATCCACAGACTTCCACGAGGCCATCGAGAAATGTAACAAGAGTGTTTCCCAAGAGGATCTGGAGAAATACGAAAAATGGATGAGTGAATTTGGCTCTTCCTAATCGAGGATTAATATCAATGGCCCGAGGACTAGAAATAATACAGACGTCTTCCACACATGAATAATCACCTGGAGATCTTGGTCTCGTTAATTATGTATTCAGAAAATGTCAAGAGTTTTTCCGTTGTTGAAGGAATTTCCGAGCGAAAATTTCGCTTAATTAATTACCGAGATGATTCTGCAATTCTAACCCACACGAAAATTTTTTATAGAAATAACTAGTGAATTCGATGGACAATTTTATTGGATTCCTATTAGTTTTTAGCCGACTGTATTGAAATGTTGAAAAAAGCCAATAGAATTCGATTTTGTTATACTATTTATTCTATTGAGAAATTTTCTGCAGAATTTTGTCGGCCCAATTTTGTTATTTTTTTTTCATTCTATTCTCCTTTTCTTTTCATAAAAAAATCCGATGAAACACCCGAATAATTTGACCTGAGGAAATTCTATAGAAAATATTTCAATAGAAATCCAATAGAATTGTCTAGCGCATTCACTAGGTTTTTTTATGAAATTTTTTCATACGTGATGTGATAGAGCACAGAAATGTTTAACCCGTTCTCTATTGTCTTTACTCCTTTCGATTTTTTATGTTAAACTAATATTTTGCTTTTTGGATAATAGTTGAGAAAAGAATCAGGATAAATTGCATTTTTTTGATAAATAATTTTTTCCTATTAGTTTTTGTTGACTAGCAGTTCTGTTAATTGTGAGTGATTTAATGAGAGAATCTGATGAGTTCGTAGAGCTACTTTAACCCACACGAAATACAATATTGAGATTTTTTAATGAAAAGTGTTTATTTTACTTTCCACCCGACTCTTGGGCTAAATCTAGACTGAAATATTGATCCTTGAGCGTAATCTAAACTGAAATCTTGACCCTCCAGGAAAATCTGGATTGAAATCTTGACTTTCTATGAAACTTTTTAGTTTCAACGTTTTCGTTGGAAATTGTTATATCTTCCGCAAAAATTGACCGATTTCCAAAAATCAAAATTCATTTTGTTCGTTAGATTTCCAGGAATATTGTTTGCTCGAAACATTTTTCGATACCTATTAAAATGACGGCGCAACACGCATTTAAATAATTAAATTCAGTTTAACTCGATTTTGACTGTTTTCCGTTTTCCGTTTTGAGATTTTTTAATAAAAAGTGTTTATTTTACTTTCAACCTGACTCTTGGGCTAAATCTAGACTGAAATGTTGATCCTTGAGCGTAATCTAAACTGAAATCTTGACCCTTGAGGAAAATCTGGATTGAAATCTTGACTTTCGACGAAACTTTTTAGTTTCAACGTTTTCGTTGGAAATATCTTCCGTAAAAATTGACCGATTTCCAAAAATTAAAATTCATTTCGTTCGCTAGATTTCCGGGAATATTGTTTGCTCGGAACATTTTTCGATACCTATTAAAATGAGGGCGCAACACGCATTTAAATAATTAAATTCAGTTTAACTCGATTTTGACTATTTTCCGTTTTCAATGAATATCTCGAACCCCAAGTGAGATAGCAAAATTTTCATCATGACCTTTTTTGTAGCCCTCAAGTCGCTCTGCAAAAAAGGTCATGACAAAAATTTCGTCATGTCCCATAGATTCGGAGATATTCTTCGAAAACTCAACTGAGTCATGAAATATGCAAGTTTCAACTGTTCACATGAATTCATACTTTTTCCTGTCAGCGCGTGGCCCGACGAGAGAGTACAGGTCATCTCTTCTGGGAAACGCGCGGGCTCTCGCCGGTGTTGACAAACAAAAACGCCGGTTAGAGGCAGAAGTAATTAAAGGGCGAATTATTTCATTGTCAAGGTGAATGAAACCCCACATTCTATTCATCCTCGCCTCTCTTGTCCTCTGGTTAAGTATCCTGGAGTATTTGCGGATGTCCTCTCGCCGTTGTTACTCTCGGAGAGGACGTGTTTGCGTGAAGATAAGTCAATAAACCCTCCATTTTACTCGCTCGAGGTTAATTTAATGTGACAGGTCCCATTTTAGCGGTTATTGAAACGTTTTAATCGTTTTTTATAACCGATCAGTGATGAGACGACTGCAAGAAATGAAGGACAAAAGCGATTTATTCGATTCAAAATCCAGTGAAAAGGAAAATCAGTCTGAGAGGGATGAGAAGCCCTGCTGTGATGAATTTAAAAAGCCGTGGGCGAAGAGGAAGGTAAACTTTTGGAGCTAATACGGGGGGCGATTATGCATAATTTTAAGGTAGTATAAACATTACTTTAATTTTGAAGATTAAAATCTGAAATAAATTATAAACGAAAGGTAATATGAATGGAAGGATTCTGGTTGAGTTTGTGGTCGATTGACAGTCTAGTATTATTAATATTGTTATTATTTATTTATCCATGTATAGACGATTAGGCTTTTTACATTAGTGTTATTAACATAAACATTTTTCATTGATTTTATCATTTTTATAAATTATAATTTTTTTCATTATTTTATTTTTTTATTTTTTTCAGTAGAAGGGGGGGTGGGGTAAAATGAACACTAGACTTTTTAAAAATTATTTATAACTCAGAAACAACCCCTCATTAACATTTTAAAAAAAGTCAAAAGTGTCCGTTTTACCCCAGCCTTCCCTATAAACATTACTTTAATTTTGAAGATTAGAATCTGAAATAAATTATAAACGAAAGTTAATATGAATGGAAGGATTCTGGTTGAGTTTGTGGTCGATTGACAGTCTAGTATTATTAATATTGTTATTATTTATTTATCCATGTATAGACGATTAGGCTTTTTACATTAGTGTTATTAACATAAACATTTTTCATTGATTTTATCATTTTTATAAATTATAATTTTTTTCATTATTTTATTTTTTTATTTTTTTCAGTAGAAGGGGGGGTGGGGTAAAATGAACACTAGACTTTTTAAAAATTATTTATAACTCAGAAACAACCCCTCATTAACATTTTAAAAAAAGTCAAAAGTGTCCGTTTTACCCCAGCCTTCCCTATAAACATAACTTTAATTTTGAAGATTAGAATCTGAAATAAATTATAAACGAGAGTTAATATGAATGGAAGGATTCTGGTTGAGTTTGTGGTCGATTGACAGTCTAGTATTATTAATATTGTTATTATTTATTTATCCATGTATAGACGATTAGGCTTTTTACATTAGTGTTATTAACATGAACATTTTTTATTTATTTTATCATTTTTTATAGATTATAATTTTTTAATTTTTTTTATCATTTTTTACAGATTGTAATTTTTTTATTTATTTTTTCATTTTTTAAATATTTTTTTAATTTTTTCTAGTAGTAGGGGAGGGCGGGGTAAAATGGATACTTTAGACTTTTTTAAAATTATTTATAACAGAAACAAATTCATCAATTGAGCTCAGTTTAGGCTCGTCACAAAGGGAAAGAGTTGTTTTTTGTATTGAAAAAAAAATTATTAAATTTTATCACCATTTTATTATCTCGTTCAGGTTGGTTCATTAGTGATTGAAGGGAAGGCTCATCGACTTTATTGGGGTAGCAACGCCATAGGACGAACCCATCACAACTCTATTCAACTGCAGTCGATGGTAAGAGCCACTCTTAAAAGGAATTTTGATGAATTCAACAGTCACGCGTCAAAATACCTCAGACTAAATATGCTCATTGAGTCATAATTTTCAGTGATGATTAGATTAGGAAAAAAGGACAATTGTTGGTAATTAATGATGAGTAGATTACGAAAGAATGAACTTGTTTTCTTATGAAACTTTCAGTATTTTTACTCGGTATATCTAAAATTTCCTCAAATTTCACAGATTTCTCTCGAAATTTTTATAAATTCCCGGACTTTTATACATTCCAAGAAATTAAAAAAAAATATTTCATACATTTTTTCGTGAAATTGTTCTATCACTATCACTCAATTTTATTTTCAAACCAAACACAATAGTTTTTGTGAAGACATTATACAAAAGCGAGAGTTTACACAAAAATAGAATTCTTCAACAGCCGAAAAACGACTATTTGACGCAATTCAAGAAAAAAAAATTTAGTCTATGTTCTCTCCTCATTCCAAACTCCCGAAGGTTTTTCATATATTTCTTACATCGAGACGACAATATTAATAATTTTCACTAATTTTATCCGCAGATCTTTTTTCAAGTAATATGAAATATTTCATATACATATAATTGAAAAAAAAAATTATCATTATATTTTACTGAAAAGAATTATTATTATTTCAAATAATTGATTTTCCAGTTTTATAATTATTACATTTTATTATTATTATCATTATTATTCTTATTATTATTATTATTATTATTATTATTATTACAGGTTACAATTCAATTGATTAGATTAGGGCGATTACACTTTTCTTTTCTCATTCGATTGAAATTCAGCCTCACATTTTCCTTTTTCCCCTCTGGGTCACCCCTGGGCCTTCCTCTGGACTTTGGATTTTGCTGTTTCATTTTCTTTTCAATTGATCCATTGACTAAATCTTCTCCCGTCGAAACTTCTCAATAATTTTTCATTCTGCTGAATGGGAAATTATTATTCTCATTAGTACTCCCAATAATAAAAAAAAGTTAATAAACAAAAATTTTTTGCTTGAATTGCGCCAAACAGTCGTTTTTCGACTGTTTCATTTTGCCCCGCTATTTCATTTTGCCCTGCTCTCCCCTAATAATTTTTATAATTTCTTCTATTCATCGACTTGATGTTTAAATTATGATGTAACAAAGCGTGCATCTTTCGTTGGCGACGTAACAGCGTTAATTGAAATCGTTCGTTTCTGTGTGGATCATCATCGCAGTATTTCTGTTTAGAAAGTGTCAAAGAGGCAAGCTGTTATCGTTGCGACAGACAACAAAATGCTGATCTGGCCTATCAGTAGAAAGTCCCCCACTTGTGTCAACTCGGTAAGTAAATTAGAATGAATAGCTGTGAGGGGGGCGAGTAGATCGCACGCGTGAAAAAATTTCATAGAAAAAACTAGACAATTCCATTGGATTTCTATTGAATTTTCTATTAGTTTTTGGGCAATTCTACAATGGCCTCAACAGAAAACAAATTATTCAAATTTGCCTAGTTTTTTTAGTTGATTTTCTTGATAAAAAGAAGACAAAAATGGAATGAAAACAAGTGGGAAATTGCTTTTATATTAATACTAGGGGGAGATCGTCATAACCGTTGTGACTACTATTTTGACCCTTGTGAACCTTGGTTACTTACCCTTCATTTCTGACCTTTGAGACCCTTAATCTGACCCTCATGACCCTTTACCGGACCCTTGTGACCCTTATTTAAGCCCTCAATTTGACCCTTGTGACCCTTAAGACTCTTAATCTGACCCATAACATGAAATCTGACCCTCATAACCCTTATTTTGACCTTCGTGACCCTTATTTTGACCCTTGTAACCCTTAATTTTGGAGTCTTAATTTTGAGTACCAAATTTTCATCACCAAAAGTCGATTTAGATTTTTATAATATAGAGAAATAGTGTTTTTGTTGTCTAGTAAAATAGCAATATGCCGAATAATTCATCACTGAGTTGAGTTGAAATCATTTGAAATCACTTGAAACAAATCATTGTGTCATGATATTCGATAGTGAATAACTCCTCGTTATTTTCTACTTAACATTCCAATAGAATCGGCCAAAAACTAATGGAAAGTTCAATGGAAATTCAATAGAATTGTCCAGCGAATTCATTATGGTTTTCTATTCAATATTTTCATGTGGGGAAAATCTCTTTCATTTTCATTCTGTCTTGCTCTTTCCTTTCTCTTCTACTCTTGAAGACAGACTTCATCTTTTGGACGAAATAAAATAAATAACATTAATAATAAATTACTTTAATACGAAATAACGTTAATAATAAATAACATTTCGTAGATAGTTTTGCCTCGAAAGAAATGGTGCAGAATTTACGATTTGTTCACGGTCTCATTCGGTGACGTTAAGGGGTACGTCAGGAATGAGAAGAATCGAATTGCGAGGAAGAATTATATGCGTAAGAAGAAAGAAGAAAAGCCCGCGGCGACTTGAGTTTGATCTCATTTTTCCTCGCGCAGTTTTTGAAAAAATCACGTTGGAATCCGGTTTCCGCGGGAGAACTGAAATTATGGAGATTAACTTACTAAGTCATTGAATAACTGCAAAATTTAGTTTAGTTTTTTGTATTTGTTTATTATTTATAAGATTTATTCCTCAAGTGCAAGAAGAGGTGAGAAGCTCTCGATTAAGATCTTGGAAGTTTCACGCACGAAAAAAGTTGATAGAAAAACCTAGCGAATTCGGTAGAAAATTCGATTAAATTTCTATTAAACTTTCTGTTAGTTTTTGGCTGATTCTATTGACATGTTCAATAGGAAAAATTCAATAGAAAAAGTCAACAGAATTCGATTTTTATATATAACTTATTGTTTTCATATATTTTCTGTAGAATTTGCTCGACTCAAATTTTCTAAGTTTTTTCATTCTTTTTTTTTTTTGTCGTCAAGAAAATCAAACGAAAAAACTGAGAAAATTTGAGCCGAAGAAATTCTATAGAAAATATCTGAATAGAATAAGTTACGTAGAAAAATTTAATTCTATTGACTAATAGAACAGTTTAATAGAAATTCAAAAGAATTTTCTAACGAATTCGATAGGTTTTTCTATTGAATTTTTTCGTCCGTGTTGTGAAGATGTGTTGCTCATTAGACACTGAAAAAGTTTGAAAAACTTATTTGTTTTGGAGAATTTGAGAGTTTGTCATTGTTTTTTAGTTTGTAGGTTGATAGCCAATTGTGCAGTTTCAAGTTGAGAGTAATAAAACACGTTTTCTCTATTATATTCAGTTGATTTCATTTCATGTCTTCGTAGTAGAATTTCTATCGCATTTTTACTGAAATTTCCAGTAGTTTCCCGCCTTTCACAGATTTTCTGCGCTTTTTTTTCCAATGGAAATGTTTAATGGACAATAGGTTTTAGAAAAAAAATCAGTAGAATTCAAAATTTTGTTTTTCAATTCCGTTTGTAAGAAGTATATTATAAATCTTATGAAGTCATTGAATAGCTGCGAAGATGAGTTTTTGTTCTTTTTGGTATTTGTTTATTAATTATAAGGTTTATGGCTCAAGTAGAAGAAGAAAGCTTTCTCGAATATCATCTTGGAAGTTTGTGAGGATCTGCTGCCGATGTAATTATGCACTGAAAAAGTTTAAAAAACTCATTTGTTTTGGAGAAATAAAATTAGTTTATTTAGTATATTTGTTTAAGCTGATTTGTTTCGAACGTTTTTCATTGTTTTTTTTACTTTGTATTTTGATACCCAATTGTGCAATTCCAAATTGAAAGTAATAAAGCACATTTTCTTTATTATATTCAGTTGATTTAATTTCATCTCCTCGTAGTAGCATAGAAAGTTCTGTTGGCTTTCTATTGACACTTTCATTAGTTCTTTGCCGATTCTATTGAAGAGTTTCACAGCTTTTGAAGGTTTTTTCCAGTGGAAATGTTGAATGGACAATAGTTTTTAGACAAAAATCAACAGAATTTAATCATTTTATGAAAATTCTTCGACTTAAATTTTTTATGTCTTGTTTCCACTCTATTTTCTTTTCCTCTCATTAAGAAAGTCAAACGAAAAAACTTGGAAAATTTGAGCCGAGGAAATTCTATAGAAAATATCTCAATAGGATAAGGTATACAGAAAAATTGAATTCTATTGACTTTTTCTACTGAATATTTTCTATTGAACATTTCAATAGAATCGGCCAAAAAATAATAGAACAGTCCAATAGAAATTTCATAGAATTTTCTGACGAATTCGATAGGTTTTTCTACTAAATTTTTTCGTCCGTGAAGTTAAGGTTCGTTGACTTTGATAAAACAAAACATCTGTCGTTGGGGTATGACAGTTCAACGGTCCCAAGTTTTCATAACAGGAACAAAAGTGGGTTTTATAAACAACACGTTTTTCGATGTCGATACAGGTGTAGTCATTGATGTTTGCTATACTATCCAGCGGGCGTTTGCCCATCGGAACCGCTACGTCTTCCGGAAACATTTTTATTCTCCGAAGAAATGGAGTCTTGCAAACGGAGCATTGAGTGCATTGAGCATTTTTCAATATGTGACACGAAGTTATTCACAAAAAAAACACGTGGCATTTTCAAATTCTTCAGTGGTAAATTTTTTTTTCACGTCATATATATATATATATAATATATATATTTCACATGTATATATCATCGGTGAAATTAATAACTTCTGTCCTTTTATGGAGCCCGATTATTTAAAAAAATTGAAAAAAATTAATTACAAATGAAAAATTCTTTATAGTTTCTTTTACTCTACTTCGCTATTCACTTCAATCATTAGTCGAATTCTCTTTGATTCATTATCAATATTTATAAGGTATTCATGAGAAAATGAAATTTAATGAATTCCATTCCTTCATTTCAACAAATGAATAGATCAGCGCGTGGATCTTGTAGTAAAGAAATGTAAAAATTGAATGTATGAATGTTACCGATAGTGTAAATAACCCGGAATGGGGTCTATACTTATAAAAAAAAAAAAAGTGGACTTGTATTTACATCTTGTAGTAAAGATCTTGTAGTAAAGAAATGTAAAAATTGAATGTATGAATGTTACCGATAGTGTAAATAACCCGGAATGGGGTCTATACTTATAAAAAAAAAAAAAAAGTGGACTTGTATTTACATCTTGTAGTAAAGATCTTGTAGTAAAGAAATGTAAAAATTGAATGTATGAATGTTACCGATAGTGTAAATAACCCGGAGATGGGTTCTATACTTGAAAAAAAAAAAAAAAAAACACGTGGACTTGTATTTAGATCTTGTAGTAAAGAAATGTAAAAATTGAATGTATGAATGTTACCGATAGTGTAAATAACCCGGATATGGGGTCTATACTTAAAAAAAAAAAAAAAAAAAAAAAAAAACACGTGGACTTGTATTTAGATCTTGTAGTAAAGAAATGTAAAAATTGAATGTATGAATGTTACCGATAGTGTAAATAACCCGGATATGGGTTCTATACTTTAAAAAAAAAAAAAAAACCGAGTAAATCAATCAATCACTCGTAATCGAAGGCACCCCCACGTGACCCAAAACAATGGGTCGGATTGGAACAGCTCATCCCTGGCGCTAGTTTCAAACGTTCGAAAGCGGCTCCCGTAGGCGTATCTCGTAGACAATAGGCCTGTCCAATAGAAACAGGTTTCCCCGCAACGTCGCCACTCCTGGCAGAACTAGCGAGCTGCGTGGCTCGCTCCACAAAACAGCGGCTTGCGCAGGCGCATATTTCCGGAGCTACTTCTAGCAGGCACAATCAACATCTGGAGTGCCAGTATCACCCAAAATGCCTCAGTACCCAGTGTAGAGGCCCCTGGAGAGTTGTTCATCACGAGATATCCCCGTCGTGCTGATGAGACCTGATAACAGCGAGTTTCACGCGACTCTGAATAATAGATAGACTTCACAATGTGTTTGAACGAAAATTGGAGTGATACGTGAGGAAAATGGACGTAAACACGTCAGTGGGGGCTGACCGGCTGTCAAGGGTGACTATGGATGCACACTGCGAGGAGAAGAGCATCTTCTGGTCCAGGTAATCACTGAAAAATAACAATAATTACTGGTTCATTCCGAGGGGCTGGTTAATTCATAAAATGCCTTTTCGCTCGAGTGCAGTTCTCTCATAGGTTATCGATTATCTTCTTGTTTTATGGCTCCAACTTTTTCAAGGCTCGCGAATTTTATTTGTTGTTTATCGGGTTGAAGAATTGTTTAAATGGGGAAGGAAAATCGGGAGCTAGTTTTTTTATCCGCAGGTGTAAAAATTTAGGGATAGTGTGGGTTTTGTCTGAGGAATGCTTCTCTGAAATTTTTGAGGCATTCGTGTTTAGAATTATGCGGGAATTGGGTTCGTGAACGAGTGGGAGATGTGGGTAAACATAACATAAACTTTAGTGATGAAATGGGGAAATGAGCTTCGTTATCTGGGTCCGTCGATTATTTTGGGAATGTTTCTGGAGAAAAATAATGTTTCGTTGTATTATTACTGCGGAATAAAATAGTAATTGTTTTGATACGAAGTTGGGGAATTTCTCATTATTTATGAACTTTTTTCAATTTTTTGTACTCTACACCCAGAGAAATGATATTTGGTTCAAATAAAACTTCATTTGATTTTTTTTTCATTAATTTCAGCTACATTTCTGTTGGAAATTGATAAACTCGTACATTTCAATGAAAATCTTTTAATTATGTGAAGGAGTAATTGATTTATTCTAAATATATCTTCGATTAAAATTGAATAGAGAGTCGATTAAATTACGTCTCAAGAAGTTTTATCAAATTATTATTCTAGTTTTTTTAAAATAAAAAGTGAAACTGTAGCAACGTATTGAAGAAAGCTCCATTATTTGTATCCATGGATTATTTTGGGAATATTTCTCAAGAAAAATACTTTTTTTGAAACGAAATTAGGGAATTTACCATTATTCAGTAATTTTTTCCAAATTTTTTGTGTTCTTCACTCAGAAAAATGATATTTGGTTCAAATAAAACTATCCATTTGATTTTTTTATTAATTTCAGCTACATTTCTATTGAAAATTAATAAACTCATATATTTCAATGAAAATTTTTTAATTATGTGAAGGAGTAATTGATTTATTCTAAATAAATCTTCGATTAAAATCAAAAAGAGAGTCGATTAAATTACTTCTAATGAAGTTTTATCAAATTATTATTCTAGTTTTTTTTGTATAAAAAGTGAAACTGTAGCAACGTATTGAAGAAAGCTCCATTATTTGTATCCATGGATTATTTTGGGAATATTTCTGAAGAAAAATTCTTTTTTTGAAACGAAATTAGGGAATTTACCATTATTCTGTAATTTTTTCCAAATTTTTTGTGTTCTTCACTCAGAAAAATGATATTTGGTACTATCCATTTTGATTTTTTTTATTAATTTCAGCTACATTTCTGTTGAAAATTAATAAACTCATATATTTCAATGAAAATGTTTTAATTATGTGAAGGAGTAATTGATTTATTCTAAAGAAATCTTTGATTAGAAGTATATAAAGTTTATTAAATTACTTGTAATGAAGTTTTATCAAATAATTATTTTAGTTTTTCTGCACGAAAAGGGAAAATGTTGCCACGTATTGGAAAAAATGAGCTTCATTATTTGTGTCCGTGGATTGTTTTAGGAATATTTCTGGAGAAAAATGATTGTTTTGAAATAAAATTGGGGAATTTCCCATTATCTATGAATTTTTTTTAATTTTTTGTATTCTGCCCCAGGGAAATGACGCATCTAATTCAAATAAAACCTTCTATTTCTTCTATGAGAATCTTTTATCAACACGTCTTAAGAATTAATGAATAATACGTGCTTTATCTGAGGAATATTTCTTTGAAATTTTTAATGCATTCGTATTTAGAATTATGTGGAGAATTGGTGGCGTGAATAAATGGGAGATCTGAGTAAACAACATCAATTTCACTAATGAGAAGATATTTCTGAAGAAAAACACTCTTGTCGAAACCAAATTGAGGAATTTTCCTTCATCTATGAATTTTTTAATTTATTTCAGCTAAATTTCTGTTAGAAATTAATAAACTCATAGATTTCAATGAAAATCGTTCAATTATATGAAGGAGTAATTTATTTATGCCGAATAAATCTTCGATTGAAATCAAATCAAGTTCCAGTGAAGTTTTATCAAATTGTTATTTTAGTTTTCTTGGCACGAAAAGAGAAACTAGCAACATATTGGAGAAAATAAGCTCCATTATTTGTATCCATGGATTATTTTGCAAATGTTTCTGAAGAAAAATACTTTTTTCGAAGCAAAATAGAGAAATTTTCCATTATCCATTAATTTTTTTTAATTTTTCGTAATCTTCACCCACAGAAATGACGCATTTCATTCTCAAAACTTTCTGTTCGTATTCTTTAATTAACTTCAGTTACATTCCTGTTGAAAAATTATTAAACTCAGAAATTTGTTTACTCATTACCTCGTTCTCAATAATTTTATTTCCAAATAACGAAGTTTTTATCTGAATCAAGGAAATAATCAAGGATATTTACATTAAAAACAATTCGATGTGACTAAAAGCGGAAATGAAAATCAAGTTTAACATTAACTAAAAACTCTACTGCAAGTTATTACAATCTTCATTGAGTGCAACTAAAGTTTATTAAACTATTAGTAAAATAATCTCTCCATATAATAAAAAAGTAGGTTTCGTCCAACGCGGAAAAATTTTCAGGGGTCAGGAGGGTCAATGTCGGCCCAAGGTCGGGCCAATGTCGGCCAAAGGTCGGGCCAATGTTGAGTCAAGGTCGACCTTGGGAAACTCTCAGTGAGTCGAGTCAAGGTCGAAAATTTCAGGGAACGCTGGGGGGTGCCCATATATGGAACCCCCCCCCCATGGGCCTTACAGAGAAAAAAAAACATTAGCTCCTTCAGAAAAATGAAATAAATAATAAGATTATAAGAAGCAAGCTCCTCCCAAGCAGTCGCACCAGAGATTTGGGGGGAGCGAGCGAAGCGAGCGAGGGGGCGAAGCCCCCCCTCCCCCTCCGGGGTTGGCGAGCGAAGCGAGCAGAGCGCGAAGCCCCCTAGTCTTGAAATAATAAAAAAATAATAATCCTGACACACCAATTGCAGGAGAGAGAGAAAGCGCTGGTTCATCTCGTTATTATGTGGCACATGTTTACTTTACGCGACGAGAACGTCAGTGCCTCTGTTAGTGCCAGTGATCAGCAAGGAAAAACAATTTATTTATTTAGCCAGATATTTATTGAAAAAATAATATATCCATTTGAATTCTTCTCAAGAGTTTTTCTACATTTTTGTCTCAAAATCCACAGGAAAATGAAAAAATTGATTTTCGAAAATTCTAATAAACAAAGGCCCAAGGAAATAAGTTGTACAAAAAATCAACATCTGCTGATTATTTCCATCAAAAATATTCTGTGGAAAAAAGAATGTAGAATTTTAACGCAATTCTAACGGAACTACAGTAGAATTTTACAGAGAAAAAAAAACATTAACTACTTCAGAAAAATGAAATAAATAATGGGATTATAAGAAGCAAGCTCCTCCCAAGCAGTCGCACCAGAGATTTGGGGGGAGCGAGCGAAGCGAGCGAGGGGGCGAAGCCCCCCCCCCCCCCTCCGGGGTTGGCGAGCGAAGCGAGCAGAGCGCGAAGCCCCCTAGTCTTGAAATAATAAAAAAATAATAATCCTGACACACCAATTGCAGGAGAGAGAGAAAGCGCTGGTTCATCTCGTTATTATGTGGCACATGTTTACTTTACGCGACGAGAACGTCAGTGCCTCTGTTAATGCCAGTGATCAGCAAGGAAAAACAATTTATTTATTTAGCCAGATATTTATTGAAAAAATAATATATCCATTTGAATTCTTCTCAAGAGTTTTTCTACATTTTTGTCTCAAAATCCACAGGAAAATGAAAAAATTGATTTTCGAAAATTCTAATAAACAAAGGCCCAAGGAAATAAGTTGTACAAAAAATCAACATCTGCTGATTATTTCCATCAAAAATATTCTGTGGAAAAAAGAATGTAGAATTTTAACGCAATTCTAACGGAACTACAGTAGAATTTTACAGAGAAAAAAAAACATTAACTACTTCAGAAAAATGAAATAAATAATGGGATTATAAGAAGCAAGCTCCTCCCAAGCAGTCGCACCAGAGATTTGGGGGGAGCGAGCGAAGCGAGCGAGGGGGCGAAGCCCCCTCTCCCTACCCCTCCGGGGTTGGCGAGCGAAGCGAGCAGAGCGCGAAGCCCCCTAGTCTTGAAATAATAAAAAAATAATAATCCTGACACACCAATTGCAGGAGAGAGAGAAAGCGCTGGTTCATCTCATTATTATGTGGCACATGTTTACTTTACGCGACGAGAACGTCAGTGCCTCTGTTAGTGCCAGTGATCAGCAAGGAAAAACAATGGAGCAAAGCAGATTCTGGGATGATTCTCTCAAGCTTCTTCTGGGGATATACATTGACCCAGGTGGCGAGTGGCTACATGAGCGACAGAATTGGAGGGCACAAGATCATGTGGATTGCAGCTCTCGGCTGGTCCTTCACTACGTTCACGCTGCCAAATGTCATTGAAGAATTTACCGACAGTGATCATCACGTGGAGATTATTGCAATGGCTAGGACAATCACTGGGGCTTTTCAGGGCATGCATTTCCCCAGTGTTATTAGTTTGACGAGTCAGCATTTGGACGAGTCTGAGAGGGCCTCGTTCTTCGGACTGCTGACGTCGGGGTCTGCATTGGGAACACTGCTCACGGGTTCGCTGGGGTCTTATTTGCTGGTTAAATTCAGCTGGGCCGTTGTATTTCAAGTATTAGGTAATATTTTTTGGGTCAATTTTGTGGTACGTTTTGAATATTATGTGTCGTACATGTGTAAAACAATTTTATAGAGAATGCTAGTGGATTTTATGGATAATTTTCCAGTTCAGTGATCGACATCAATCATTATTCCAGAAATATTAAGAGAATTATTTCCCCAAATAACCGAATTCATTCGTTTGTCATTGGAACTTGGAGAATAATAAATAATTGAGAATTTAAATTTTTTCAATAACTATTAGGTAAATAATTGGAAATTTTCAAAAAATATTAGAGATTAGCAAATAATCGTCATTCTTCCGGATTTGATTATTGATTGGTAAAATAATTCATCAATCATTATTCCAGAAATATTAAGAGAAATATTTCCCCAAATAAACGAATTCATTCGTTTGTCATTGGACTTGGAGAATAATAAATAATTGGGAATTTTAATTTTTTCAATAACTATTAGGTAAATAATTGGAAATTTTCAAAAAATATTAGAGATTAGCAAATAATCGTCATTCTTCCGAATTCGATTATTGATTGGTAAAATAATTCGGAATTCAAATATTTAATTGTTGATTAATTTAGTAATTGAAAATTGTTAAGTTCCATTACTTGATTGAGTATTTATGAAATTAATGGTAATGATAATTTATGATTATGCCTATCTCTGTTCTAGTTCTGTTGGATTTATATTGAACTTTTTATTAGTTTTTGGCTGATTTTATTGAAATGTTCTATAGAAAAAGACGATAGAATTAGATTTTTCTATAAATTTATGCTATTGAGATATTTTCTATAGATTTCGTCGGCTCAAATTTTGTTTTTTTGTTTGATTTTCTTGTTAAAAAAAAAAAACAGTAGAATGAAGAAAAGTTAAAAATTTCAGGCGAGGAAATTCTGTAGAAAATATCTCAGTAGAATAAGTTATATTGAGAAATGGAATTCAATTGACTTTTTCTATTGAACGGTTCGATAGAATCCGAAAACTAATAGAAAGTTCAATAGAAATCTAATAGAATTGCCTAGCAAATTCGCTATTTGTTTTTTTATTAAATTTGACCAAACATTCGATAATTAACAGAAAAAATCTGCTTGATTTCAACATTTTGTTCACAAATATGAAAAAAATTTCTAGAAAAATCTCTCGCTTTTTCAAGAAATTATAACAAATTATGATTGAAGTTCAATTGGAATTCTCATTGAAATCATTCTGTTCGTCTTTTGTGAGGATTTATTTAGCCAGACATTTGTTGAAAAAATAATGTATCCATTTGAATTCTTCTCAAGAGTTTTTCTACATTTTTGTCTCAAAATCCGTAGGAAAACGAAAAAATTGATTTTCGAAAATTCACATCTGCTGATTATTTCCATCAAAAATATTCTGTGGAAAAAAGAATGTAGAATTTTAACGCAATTCTAATGGAACTACAATAGAATTTTAATGAAATTTCATTGGAAAAGCCATCGAAATCCGTTGAGAAATTGTTCAGTTTTTCTATTAAATTTTATCAAACGTTCGACAATTAACAGAAAAAAATCTGTTTGACGTTAATATAAATAGATTTGGTTTTCGTTAATAGGTAGTTTAGGTTTACTATGGACACTATTTCTCTACTATCAGAGTCTCACTGCTCAAAGGAGGAGAATAATCTCGAGGAGTTTTGGGGAATCAAAAAGTAAAAATCTACCGTGGAGAGAGTTATGGTCCAAACCGCCTTTCTGGTAAGCAATCCTTTCCTCACTACAATAAATTCAATAATCAGTCAGTAACTAAATATTTCAATGTTCGTAGGTCTTGTGTGTTCGCCCATGCCTGTCAGAACAACTGTTTCTTCGTTTTACTTTCGTGGATGCCAACTTACTTTCACGATACATTTCCAGATGTACCAGTAAGAGAATAATTTTCGTAATTATGATAGATTTTTATTAATTTCTGGATTGATGTGATGAAACATAATGAGTAAACCCATTCGACTTCTGCATTAGCGAAATGTCTTGCACTCATCTGTGAGATAATTGCATAATTGCAGGCATGAAAAAAATTAATAGAAGAGTCTAGTGCTTTTTGCAAGAAATTCTTGAATTCCTAGTGGAATTCTATAAGAATTCTCTTCAAGTTTCATCAGAATTCCGTTAAAAAATCAATTTTATTCATTTTTTCATTCACTTTATTGTTAAAAAAATCATTTTGTCGAGAGACATTTGACAGAAAAAAATACAGTAGATTTTGTCTTTTTATTATAGAAATTGTTGGGCTTTATAAAATCCAAGCAAAAAATCAGAAAATTCATGCCCAAGAATGTTTGAAACATAATGAGTAAACCCATTCGCCCTCTGCATTAGCGAAATGTCTTACACTCATCTGTGAGATAATTGCATAATTGCAGGCATGAAAAAAATTAATAGAAGAGTCTAGTGCTTTTTGCAAGAAATTCTTGAATTCCTAGTGGAATTCTATAAGAATTCTCTTCAAGTTTCATCAGAATTCCGTTAAAAAATCAATTTTATTCATTTTTTCATTCACTTTATTGTTAAAAAAATCATTTTGTCGAGAGACATTTGACAGAAAAAAATACAAGTTTTGTTTTTTTATTATAGAAATTCTTGGGCTTTATAAAATCCAAGCAAAAAATCAAAAAATTCATGCCTAAGAATGTTTATGGAAAAAATCCCAACAAAATAAGTTGTATAGGAGAATCAACATTAATAGACATTTTATAAACAAATATCCAAAAAATATTCCGTAATTTTCAATAGAATTGACGATAAAATAACAAATTTTTCCATATAATTCTTATAGTGTTCGAGTAAAAATTCAATAGAATTCCTTAGAGAAGAGTTAGCTAGGGTTTTTTTTAATTGTTTCATGTGTGTAACAAAGGCTCGAATTGTTACGTTTCCATTCTTCAATACAGATTAATGATTTGACTAATTGTCTATTCTATGTGTTTTGTTTTTTCAGAGTTGGATGGTGAACATGATACCCTGGTTATCGTTACTCCCTTGCACTTTCGTGGGGAAAATATTGTCTGAAAGATTGATTACTACTGGGTATACAGTTACAACTACGAGGAAAATCGTGGAAACTATTTGTTTTGCGACTCAAACCATAAATTTGCTCATATTAGGTGAGTAGTAAAAGTTTGGAAATTGGAAAGTCGAGAATACAAAACTATTGACCAGTTTTCAATGAATATCTCGGAATCTAAGGGAGATAGCAAATTTTTTATTGAAATCTTTTTTGTAGTCCTCAATTTGCTCTACAAAAAGGGTTATTACGAAAATTTTGTTACCTCCCTTAGATTCTGAGATATTCCTCAAAAACTCAGCTGAGGGCTAAATCCACTTAAATCACTTTAACCTTTTATTATTCAATTTATCCAAAAAATTTTGTAAAAAATCTTATAGACTCCAGACAAATGTCTTTCCTATTAGTTCACACAATGTCAAGTACCCCAAATAGAGGAAGAAATAAATTAATCGTTCAAATGAAAGCTCTAAGCTGCAAAACAATTTCGAGAAAAAATTTATTGAAATCAATTTTTCTTCCTCGTCACAGCGACAGTCCAGACATTCCAAGCTGCAATGCTCTGTCTAATGTTCATAATTGGTGGCACGGGATTTCACAACACGGCTATTGCAGTGAACCCATCAGATCTGGCGCCAAAGCACTCAGGGAGCGTCTTCGGGCTCATGAACTCGGTGGGAGCAGTTCCGGGTACGAAACCATAATTTCCAACTCGTGTTAGAGATTCGTAATTTAATTCTCTTGGGAATGGCGTGAGGAAATTAGTTGCCAGGCTGACTAGATTATTTCGTGAACATTAAAGACTAGTGGTTTTAGAGATTCTAGAGAATTCTTTTGTGGTCCATAACAGGGATCGACATGAACCATTGGATTATTAATATTACGAGAAGTTATACCTTTAAATAATTGATCCAAATTTTTAAATTGATTTTTTAATTAATGATGAGGAATTCAATTGACTTTTGAATAAATAATTCTTAATTTGAATATTTATTTGATGATTAATTTAATAATTAAAAAATTGTCAAGTAATATTAGCTAATTGACTAATTGAAAAATTAATTTTATCTATAATAAAATAATGAAATATTTATTATTTTATTAACATTATTTATGAAAATTATAATAAAATAATTGATCTAAATTTTTTAATTGATAAGGAATTGTCAGTTGACTTTTGAATAAATAATTCTTAATTTGAATATTTATTTGATGATTAATTTAATAATTAAAAAATTGTCAAGTAATATTAACTAACTGACTAATTAAAAAATTAATTTTATCTAAAATTCATGACTCTGTCGACGTCTGGTCCATGAAATCTCTTCACTGGCATTATTTTATTGAAAAAAAACCTAATGCATTCATCAGAAAATTCTAGTGGATTTCTACTCGAAAATCTATTCGAAATGCTCAATCCAAAATAATGAATTCCACGATTTATTTCATGATTTTTAGGGTTCTTGGGAGTGTACCTAGCCGGATGCATCCTACACATGACCCACAGTTGGGCGGCAGTATTCATTTTGACAGCTTTTATCGACATTCTGGGCTGCGTCGTTTATCTCACGTTTGGTTCCGGTCAGGCGATTATATGAAAGTACCCGTGGCACGTGGCGATGCCTATAAGTCTTGTACATATTTAAAGCAATTGAATAAATTTGTAAATTAGTAAATCTTAAGGTAAAACGATTTTTTTATTCTCTAAATATTACAAAATTATTAGTTATCACTTATCCACTAGCATCTTCGACATGTACGGGCCATCCAACTCGTAGCCCATTTTTCTGTAATAATTCCTCGTCCCGACTCCTGAAATTTGAATAAAAACAATTTGAGAAAGGATTTGACGATCTTATTTTCGGCTGATGTGTAACATGATTGGAAATTTGAAGGAATGCGTTCCCAGTCTGAGATTTACGCACATGGCTATCCTGTCAGTAAATTTTCTGAGTTTTTTGTTCGATTTTTTTCAAAGAGAATGAAAAAATGGAGTAAATAAACTTGTCAAAGTCGTGTCGGTAAATTTTTATGCAAAAAAAAACATAAATTTTGCTAATGTTGAATGTTTCTCATGGGGAACATGTCCATTGAACTTCTATTGGAAATTCTATGAATTTTTCACCGATTCAAGTGAAAAAATTCGCAGCTTTGTACGCTTTTTTCAATTAGAATGTTCAAAAGAAAATAGTTTATAGACGAGATCAATAGAATCTAATTTTTCTATACAACTTATTTTATTGAGAATTTTTCTATAGAAATACTTTGGTTCAAATTTTCCAATTTCTTCGGTTGAATTTGTTTCATGCGAAAAAAAATTAAATGAAAAGAACTTCGAAAATTTATTCCGACTTCCTATAGAAAATGTATCAACACAAAAAATTGAACAGAAAAATTAAATTCTGTTGATTTTCCAATTAAATAAGTTCTATTAGACATTTTCCATTAAAAAATTGCAGTGAAGTTGTTGAATATTTCAGTAGAACCATCGAAAAACGAATGGAATTTGTAATAAAAAATCCAATAGAATCTTCTCGCAGAATGTTTCGAATGTTATCTGGATTTTTTTATCTTTCGTAAAACAAAACTGTCAATTGAGTCGTACATCATGTAGAAATTCCCAAAAATTATGATAGAATGATAAAAAAATAGAAAAAATTCTGAATTTTTTCAACGAGAGTTTTTAATTGAGATTCAGAATAAGTTTTCGTGTCTAAACTCACCCGAAATAACAGAAATCTTGATGGACCCATGTTCCTCCCTGGCGATCCTCTCAGCCTCCTCCATGAGCAGCATTCCAAACCCTTGATGCTGGAATTTCGTTGGGTCCCTAGCATTGATGGGGACGACGCTCCCATAGACATGTAGCTCCCTCACAATGGAGCAGCCCCCCTTCAACTCAGCCCTGAAAGTTTCGTTGGAGCACTTCCTCAGCCTCAGCAGGCCCACAAGAATATCCTGCGTTGGATCCTCATAAGCCAAGAACGTCTCCCACCCGTTATTAGCCACATAATCCCGTCTGATGAACTCCACCTCATGTGGCTGGACTTTATTGTGGATCTCTTGAATCCCCACCTCCCTGGTCCTCACGTCTCTGCAGTCAGTCCCAAAGTCCTTCATCCTGGCCAGTGCAAGCTCCCTCAGATTTCCATGCTCAACCCCAGAGCTGACCAGGGGCATTGGGATGTCCCTTTGAACTCTATAAACCCTAGTCCATGGCGGAATGAGGGCTAGAATCCGCGCGATTAAGTCCACTAGAGTGCTTGGAGGATAACTCTTGTATCTGCGGAGTCAATTTTATAATTCAGAGATTATCATGTCGACATAATGAGGAAGTATTTTGTCATATTAGAAAAGGCAAATCGAAAACAAAAATAATAAAAAAAATATTCTTATAGTTTACTGAAAAGAATTATTGTTATTTCAAATTATTGATTTTTCAGTTTTATAATTATTATATTTTATTATTATTACTATTATTATTATTCTTATTACTATTGTTATTATTACATGTATATGGCTACTGCTGTATATTAAATTACTCATTTTTTAATATAATAGATTCTATCGAGAAATTTCTATAAAAAAAAATTATTGAATTTTTTAAATTTGAAATTATTGAATTTCCATTAGAATTGTACTGAAAAATTCCATTTATTTATGTAAATTTTCTTTATTTTTGAAAATCGTCTATAGAGGTTGATTTTTTTATATATTTCATTCTGTTGAAATTTTTTCTATAGAAATATATAGATAGATAGATTTCTCTTGGGTATGACTTTTTCAAGCTATTTTAGTAAAAAATCCACCGAAAAAAATTGGAAAATTTATACTCAAGAATTTCTATAAAAAAAAAAAACAAAATCCATTGACTTTTTGTATCAATTGTGTATCAGAAAATGACACTGTGAAGTTGTTTAGTCATTTTCAATAGAATTTGAACAGAAAATCAATAGAATTTCTTAACAGAATTTCAACAGAACTCCAATCGAGTTCTTAAAAAGTTATATTTTCGAAAGAAATTCAGTTTGAAGAGTTTTGAAGAGAAAGCTAGGTATTTTCCCCTTGAATTTCTTCTATAAATTTTATTAATTTATTTCAACATTGTTTCCTTTTTTTCTACCTATTATTGAGTTCAGCTATAGTTTTTCAGCGCACCAAATGAATGAATGAAGAAATCAGTAGCGAAGTGACTAAACGGTTCAAGTCGATTTTGACTATTCATGAGTTTTCAGTGAATATCTCCCAATCTAAGGCAGATAGCAGAATTTCTGTTATGACCTTTTCCGTAGAGCACATTAAGATCTTCAAAAAAGATATTCACGAAAATTTCGCTATCTCCCTTAGATTTGGAGATATTCCTCGAAAATTCAGCCAAGAATTAAGTCGACTTAAACTATTTACTCATTTGACTACTTCGCTACTAAATAACTAAATAAATGGATAACTGAATGAATGTACAAATAAATAAATAAAATACCTTCCAGTCTTCCACAGTTCATAAAGCCCAGTTCCCCTAATAACTAAAGTGGGATAGATCTTCAAACCATCAGCCCTGAATGCTGGATTCTCAAAGAACTCCATGAACTGTTCGACGTCCCTTTCAATGTCGACATTAGGTAAGTCAGGCATCATATGCGCGATCACTTTAAACCCAGCGTCCTTGGACAGTTGAAAGCTCTCGCAGACTGCCCTCACAGTGTGCCCTCTGTTCGTATCTCTCGCCACGTCCTCGTAAACCGATTGAACTCCAATTTCGAGTCTTGTGCAGCCATATCGCAGCATGTCTGACAGGTGCTTCTTCAGACAGTAGTCTGGACGGGTTTCTATGGTGATGCCGATGCATTTCGTCTTGCTGCGCTCTGAGAAACGCACTGCCTCGTCCACGTCGTTACTTATGTGGCCGGAGAGGGCATCGTGCAAATTTCGGATGAAATAATCTCGGTATTCTTCTGGTAGGGACATGAAGGTCCCTCCCATCACGATGAACTCGATTTTGTCGACACTGTGGCCCAGTTGTTTCAGCTGGAACAAGTGGGAAATTGCTCCTGTATTGCGTATAGTATCTCTTAGTTGAGTTTTTTAAGAATATCTCCGAATTTGAGGGAGATAACGAAATTTTCGTAATAACCTTTTTTCTAGAGCGAATTGAGCGCTACAAAAAAGGTTCTGACAACAATTTAGCTATCTCCCTTCGATTCCGTGATATTCACTAAAAACTGGTCAATAGTCAAAATCGACTTGAACCGGTTTACCACTTCACTACTGAAATGGAGAATAATTATTACAATATTATTCCTATAATTGATTGGAGAATAATTACTTGATCAACTCGATGTCTCGTCTGCAGAAAAGGATCATAACGAGCCCTGATGGCTCTCATGGAAGTCGGTTCGTATCCAGTGTAAGACTGAGTTGAATATTCAAAGTCTGAGTCGGGTCCTCCAGGGCAATAGACGCAGATATTCCCAGTCATGTTGATGTGAGGGCACCTGTGAGGCTTGCACATCACTGCAACGACAGCAATCTGACGAAAAGAAACATCAATTGTTCATTGAAACATCAACTGTTCATTTAATCTCCAGTGGAATTTCCCTAGGACATCGATACCGACTCCACTGGCTGTTCTGATGGGTTTGGCCTTCAGCTTCGGGAGTAATTTGCTCTTGGCATCGACGGGCACTGCAGCTATAATATCCACGAGCCTCGGAGACGACTCCAACCCGTACTTCGACGCTATTCTTGTCTTCAATTTGTTTAGATCGACGTCTCTGTGTTCATTGTGAGCAACGAGCAGCTCCTGGATAATTTCCCCTATTGTCATCACCATTCTCTCCTCCTTAGTCTCCACAAACACTAAAAAAATGGGAACAAATTGAAAAACAGGGGAAAGACGAAGATTTCTAAAGTTACTTCAGTTTGGAAGTGAAACAGGAATGTTGAGTAGGAAATTATTCTGACGTTTTAATTAATGAAAAGTTCAAGAATGTATTTTCTTGAATTTCCATAATTTTTACTGATTTTTATATAATTACATTGGCATTTACAGTTTTCATTGATTTTTTCATCAAATTTTGAATTTTTAATGATGAAATTCTTTGAAATTTCAGTGGAACTGTCACTTGATAAAAAATTATTGTTTGACTGAAGACAAAAAATAACAGAAATAAATAGTGAGCGTTCCTCTGGAGGCATGAAAAATTGAGGAACACTAAACTATAATAGAAATGACATGAAGGTAAAATCCGAACCGTCACAAATATTAAAACGATGAAAATTTAATGGCTAGACTCATTTTCTCCTCTCGTAAATATTAAAATTATTCCAACAATGAACGATTCTGGAGCAGAATCTGAAAAAACTTTTTTTATAGGAAATTATGACAATCACAAAGAAGATTCTCTAATGTTTAGTTCTGAAAACATTTGATTAGAAGAAAAATTTTAAAATTTGTGAGCAGCTGAAGAATGAGAATTCCTAAATTTACTTTTGTTTTCAATTGAAACATGAGTGTTGAACAGAAAATTACTCTGAAATTTTAATTAATCAAAAATGTAAGAATAAATTGACTTGAATTTCTGTAATGTTTATTGATTTTTATGTAACAATTACACTGTCATTTACAGTTTTCATTGATTTTTTCATTAAATTTTGAATTTTTAATGACGAAATTCTTTGAAATTTCAGTGGAACTGTCACTTTATAAAAAATGATTGTTTGACTGGAGACAACAAATAATAAAAATAAATAATTAGCGTTCCTCTGAAGGCATGAAAGATTGAGGAGAAGTAGCAGAAAATGTAAAATAGGGTTTTGATCATCTAAACTATAGAAATGGCGTGAAAATCAAAACCAATCAGTCATAAATATTACAACGATAAAAATGTGATGACTGGACTTCTTCTCTTCTCCTGTCAATATTAAAATTCTTTAACAATGAACGATTCTAGAGCAAAATTCGAACGATTGTATAAAAAAATTCTCTAATTTTTTCTTACGAAAACATCTGATTGGAAGAAAAAATTTCATAATTAAGACATGTTTGATGAGATTTCGTTTCGCTCACAGCAACTTTAGAGGTTAAACATTTATTTCTCTGCTCCGAATCATTTTTCACTCCATAAATTCAATGAACACTCACCTCTCTTCTTCCTCGTCATTTCAAAACGCTCGTTTTCAACTATCAATCCTTGAAAATCACTTTAAACAGTTAATAAATCCGGTTTTCTCGATTTTATAGAGTTCTCACGTGTAAATGTTAGATACTACGTGACAGATGAACAGAAAGTGGAGTTTCCATGAGCCTCCGCGAGTAGAAATGTAAAATGACCGTCATTTTTGAGAACGCGTCGTGTGACCAAAAATTACGGTCTTGCGACGATCATGTGACACAAATTTTCTAACTCAAAATGTACATTTTGTAATGAAAATCACGAATATTATTCGTCTATACAGATAAAACTATTTTTTCGGCCTTGTGATAAAAATAGCTATTTTTTCTTAATTTATAACTGTCACAAATTAGAAATTTGTTATCCACAGATGATTTGCCATAATTCCGCAATTTTTCTTCAATAATTTTTATTTAAATTCATTTTGAATTAGTCTAATGCACTTATTGAAATAAAAATAACGAATATTTTTCATCTATAGGGGAGGGTGGGGTAAAATGGACACTTTAGACTTGTTAAAAATGATGTATAACTCAGAAACAAATTTATCAATTGAGCTCTGTTTAAGCTCGTCACAAAGCGAAAAAGTTGTTCTTTGTATTGAAAAAAAAATTATTCAATTTTATCAACATTTTAACCCCTCATTAACATTTAAAAAAAAGTCAAAAGTGTCCGTTTTACCCCAGCCTCCACTACAGATAAAACTATTTTTTCGGCCTTGTGACAAAAACATCTATTTTTCTTAATTTATAACCGTCACAATTCGAAATTAGTTATTGCCGTCATTATGCATCTATACACATGATTTAACAGCAGTTTGCTTACAAATTACTTATTGTGATCATCATTTTGAGTTAGAAAATTTACGTGTCACATGACCGTTATTTTTGAGATCGCCTCATTTAACAAAAAAAAATTATTCTTATATTTTACTGAAAGGAATTACTATAATAATAAATAATAATAATAATTGTAGTCATTTTTGCGATTGCGTCATTTGACCAAAAACAAAAACTATTTTTATATTTTACTGAAAAGAATTATTATCATCTCAAATAATTGATTTTTCAGCTTTATAATTATTATATTTTTCATCACGCTGTGATGAAAAGTGAACTTTTCGGCACGCCTAAAAGTCCAATTTCCGCCACATTGTGATGAAAAATATTGTTCGTAACTCGTGAAAAAGTGTTTTTTAGCTCGTGGGATTATATCACGAGCCGAAGGCGAGTGATATGAACCTCCCACTCGCCAAAAAACACTGTTTTGCACTCGTTACGAAATATACTATTTCATCACGCTGTGACGAAAAGTGAACTTTTCGGGACACTCCACGTGCCTAAAAGTCCAATTTCCGCCACATTGTGATGAAAAATATTTTTCATCACGCTGTGACGAAAAGTGAACTTTTCGGGACACTCCACGTGCCTAAAAGTCCAATTTCCGCCACATTGTGATGAAAAATATTTTTCATCACGCTGTGACGAAAAGTGAACTTTTCGGGACACTCCACGTGCCTAAAAGTCCAATTTCCGCCACATTGTGATGAAAAATATTTTTCATCACGCTGTGACGAAAAGTGAACTTTTCGGGACACTCCACGTGCCTAAAAGTCCAATTTCCGCCACATTGTGATGAAAAACACTTTTTTGCACTCGTTACGAAATATACTATTATAGTATCACTATTATTATCATTATTATTATTCTTATTATGATAATTATTATTATTATGATAATTAGTTATTATGATATTATGTTATTATGATAATAACAATAGTCATTTTTGAGATTGGGTCATTTGACAAAAATGACGGTCATTTAACATCATCCAACCGCGAGTCAATAAACCCTCCCCGTGTTCCAGCGTTCCCCGTGTTTTATGCCCGAGCAATCTTAAAATTACGGATATTTTCGGTTTTCCATGGTTGAAGCGAGGGAGCAAAAGCCCCCGGACGATGGTTGTACATTTGAAATAAGAGCCAGTGGAGTATTATGATGGCGTCAAAAGCCCATGTGGACAGTACTGTGAATGAACGTCGTCTTCGTCCGATATACGGTGAATCTCAGTGCATCAATAATTCCTTTTATCCGATTAAATTGTCCCTCACTCGCGACGAAATTTTGTTTACGACTGGGGAAACCGGTGAGATAGGTTATGTAACTTAATATCCTCGTTTTTTGGAATGGTTCTAGATTGGCTGGACAATGGGAGCAATAAAAAGGCACTCCAGGAGGCGGACAAGGTCCTCAGGAAGCAGCCGACTAATCAGTGTGCCAGGGTACTCAAGGCCCTGGCCCTCTTGAGACTGGGGAAGGAGGACGAGTGTCAGAATATAATGGAACAGGTGAGAGAAAATTTCATCCCTCGGCAGGGTGATGACAATACTCCGGGCAGAAGGGGTAGGACGTCATGGGGGTCGAGGGGGCAAAACGGACACTTTCGAATTGAAAAAAATTCAATTCAATTAATTTTGAATTTAACGTTCAATTAAATTCAATTGTTGATGGGATGGAATAACTTGTTCTCTTTGGAGAGTACTTCTTTCTCTTCATAATGAGCCCAGACTTCACAATTGATCAATTTATTCCTGAGGTGAATTTTTAAACAAGTGGGAAATTGATTTTGTGTTGTATACAGTAGTTATTTTTGCTAATAAATTAGCAATATGAATCCGAATGGTTATTTTGCACATCATTTCCTTCTATCATGTACAGTTCATTGTTTATTTCATTTTATTAAATTGTTAATTAAACTTAGTTGAATGTTATCATCATCTCATGTTATCATCATCATTATTCTTATTATCCCTTTCTTCTGCACAACCGATTGTCTTTTTCACGGTTCTATCTGTCCCCTCAGCCCTTCAATAAAATTTTAATAGAAAAACTCTGTGGTCAAGCGGTTTAAGTCGACTTAATTCTTAACTGAGTTTTCGAGGAATATCTCCAAATCCAAGGGAGATAGCGAAATTTTCGTATCCATCTTTTTCGAAGCTCTTAATATGCTCTACCAAAAAGGTCATGACAGAAATTTCGCTATCTGCCTCAGATTGCGAGATTTTCGCCGAAAACTCACGAATACTCAAAATCGACTTGACCCGTTTGACCTCTTCGCTACCGAAACAGTTGTCCCATGCCGACAAAAGCGATTGACCCCTTCTTCCCCTCCGCAGGTCCGCTTCGAAGTTCCCTGCGAGGACTCCACTCTCCAAGCCATGAGCATCTGCTACAAGGAGATCCACCAGCCCGAGAAGATCCGCGAGGTCTACGAAGCAGCAGCGAAGGCAGATCCCCACAACGAGGAGCTCCTGACGCACCTGTTCATGGCCTACGTCCGCCTGGGAGACTTCAGGAAGCAGCAGCAAACAGCCCTGGCGCTCTACAAGCTGAAGCCCAAGAACCCCTACTACTTCTGGGCAGTGATGAGCGTCGTGATGCAGGCGATCCAAGCAGACGACAAACTCGCGAAAGACGTGATCCTCCCCCTGGCAGAGCGAATGGTCCTGAAGCTGGTGAACGAGGACAAGCTGGAGGCCGAGCAGGAGGTCCAGCTGTACTTAATGATCCTCGAGCTCCAGGGGAAGGACGAGAGTGTCCTGGAGGTTCTCAACGGCCCCCTCTCCGACAAGCTCTCAGGGGTGCCCCAGCGAAGAGCCAGTCTACTTCTGAAACTCGAGAGACACGAGGAGGCAACGAATGCCTTCAAAAAACTGATAACCGAGGACTCCGACAACTGGGCGCACTATTTAGATTACTTAACATCAGCCCTGCAGCACCAGAAGCCGACAGAGTGCCTGGAATTCCTGGATAAAATAGGTGAGACCTCGTGGAAGAAGGTGAGAGGCCCTCAGTTGGGTAGATTCGAGCTCCTGAAACGTTGCACTTCAGCTGAAATTAATTTGCGAGAGGTGATTGACCCTGTGAAGCTCATGAGAGGATACTTCGAGCAGTTTGGGAACAAGGGCTGCATCGTGGGGGACCTGAGGCTCTACCTGGACCTCCTGAGCGAGGACGAGAGGACTGAACTCTTCAGGGGAATTTCAGAGGACGTTGGGGTGACTGATGAGGTTTTACCGACGTCGACAGACCAAATGCTGAGACACATTCATCTGGAGGAGCTCAGACGAATCTGTGGGATGCATCACTCACCCAATCTCGATGCTCAGGGCAGGGAGAGTCTCGTTGAGCGACTCTGCAAGCTGTACGAAGTTGGAAACAAACTCTGTCCATCTGACGAGAGATTACCAACTGACTTCGCCCCCTTTGACTCGTACATTCTTATTGCCTCGCATTTGCTGCTGCAGTTGTGGTACGAAAGCTCAGGGGCTGGATATCTTTACAGGGCTATGATGCTGCTGGAGAAGGGATTGGCCACTAGTCCAGCCAATTTTCATTTGAAGATAATGCTCGTGAGGGCTTATTTGGAGGCTGGGCTGATTGGGGCTGCTAATCATGCTTATGAACTGCTCGATGTCAAGCAGATTCAACTGGATTCACTGGGGTATCTTCATGTACCTCTACTCGCTCCCATGGGACATCTGTCAGGGGCTGCCAGCGCTCTCGATAATGCTGTCAAGTTCTTCATTGCTAATTATAAACACAGCGCTGATCGCCTGACGTTTGCGTATAAGTATGGGAGCTTTGTGAAGATTCAGGAGTTTGTGGAGTTGAGGGAGAGACTCGAGAAGTCCCTGCACTGGACTACGTCCACTGTTGATAAAATGCTGCTGGAGATCAGCTGGTGCGAGAGCTGCAAATCACTCTCTGGGACGCTGGCGACTATGAGGATACAGCCCCATGAGGATGCCATCAGGTGAGTTTTTTGAGAATACGGGTTTTATGGAATGAGAGAAAATAACTCTTTTTAACTTTTAATGTTATTTATTGCAAGAAACGTGCGGTCTTGCACATGGCCAGTGCCCGAGGACCTTCAGCCTAGGAGAGAACATATTTTTCTCAAAATTAGTAGAATTGAATTTTTTTATACAACTTATTTTGTTGGAATTTTCTGGTTTTTTAATGAGAGGAAAAAAGTAGAGTCAAGAAAGCAGATTTTATTGAAAAATTTCGGAGTCTTTCAGTGCGAAAGGAAATATTTCGTAGGGAAAATCAGTAGAATTTGATTCTTCTAGGAAACTTGTTCTATTGAAATATTTCAATTTAATTCAATTTATTAATTTAATTCAATATTTTAATTAAATATAATTCATCAAATTAATTCGTTTTTTGAAATCGTTATTTAAAATTCAAAATTTGTAAGCTCACTAATTTGATAATAGCAATGGTTAACACAAATTTATTAACAGAATTTCGAGAAAAAAACTCCACTCAAAATAAAATTCAAAGAATTCCCTGAAAGGTCGCCTAACGAATTTTCCTCTTCTTCTTGTCTCCAAAGGTGGGATTTGCTGCGGGACAATAGAGACTTGGAGGTCGTGGTTGGATGGGAGCCCCTCACGAAGAGCAAGGACCCTCGCAGATACGAGGACACACGCGAGTGTATGCTCGCGATTTTAGCCGCTAGAAATTTAATCCTGAGGATTATCGCTGCGACTGCTGAGCAGGACTCGTCGTCCCTCCTCGCTAAATTATCGGGGGAACTGAAGAGTCTGGACAGCGAACGAGTGACAAAGTGTCTGGAGAAGTTCGAGGTTGATAAGAGAATCAGAGTGGACAATCAAGTGATTCCGTTGGACGCCGTCGAACGTTTGAAGGAGGCACACGAGTCGGGTCAGTTGAGAATTATAGCTAGACTGGCCGAATCATTTGCCAAAGTGTCGAGACCTGATGAGGAGAGCATTCAGGGAATACAGAGTGCTGCGTGCTTGGAGCCACTCAGCGTTGGTGAGGGGATTGTTAGTTATAAGGAATTCATGCTCAGGGCTGCGACCTGTGGAGAGACTCTCGCGTTTCTAGGGGCCATGTGTGTGGAGTACTCGAGTCAGTTTCATCCGCAGATTGGAAACAGGAGGAACAGAAAGAAGAGCCATAACAAGGAAATTTCAGCGATTAACAACCATGATGTTCAGGTAACTTACAATAAAAAATATTTTCTAAAGAATTTCTGAGGATTTTTGCCTTTTTAGAAGGATTTTTACAAAATAAGGGGTTTTTCTATTTATTTAGTTATTTCAGTGTTTATTTATTCATTCATTTCTTTATTTATGAGCTGTAATGAATGAATGAGGGAATAAATAAATAAATGGAAGTGGGAATAAATGGGAAGTCATAATGAGGACATTTTTACGATTAACTGGATTGATGTGTTGCTAATTCGCAATGAAAAATGTTTAATAAGAATTTCTCAGAATTTTTGACATTTGAAGGTATTATTTTTAGAAGATAATCTGCATTTTTATCTCCATTTCTATTTAATTAGCTTTTTCGGTATTTATTTATTCATTCATTTCTTTATTTATGAGATCTAATGAATGAATGAGTGAATAAATAAATAAATGGGAAGTCATAATGGGGAAACTTTTACGATTAACTGTCATGATGTTGAGGCGACTCATAATGAAAAATGTTTCATAATTTCTCTGGATTTCTTCCATTCACAGATGGTTTTAAAAAATAATCCTGTTCTACAGAATTGCGATTGGAACTGTATATGACTAAAAAAATGTTTATCTTTCAATGTAACTTATTCCTCTTGAATTCTTTCTATAAGAATTTTTCGACACGAATTTTCTAACCTTTCTTCCTTTCATTTTAGAATGAAAAACAATCAAAAACCCGATGGAAAAAATTGGAAAATTTATGTTGAAGAATTTTTATGGAAGAAATTTTAGGAGAATAGAAAAAGAATATAATATAATATACGAATATATATTATTATATAATAATATATTGTATATTATATTAATATTAATATAATATATTTCAAGAGAATGAATTATAAATAACGAATATAATATAATAAGTAATAATAATTCATAAGAATTCTCTAAATTGTTTTCCTCATTTTGTTTATGGATCATTCATTAATTTTTTTCATTCTTTTTTTTGCAGAGTTGGACAGAAATTGGCCATTTACTTGTCGAAAAAGCTCAAGGACTAGAGTCAGTCCTCACAAATCTCGAGAAAAGAACCCCAGAAACGGGTCTCGACATAGCTTTATGCCAATCAGCAAATTCAGTTCTGGAACATACTCAAGAGAGCATTAAGGATAGCTGTCGACTGCTGAAATCCCGTCTGAGTCTCACCGTTAAACTCCTGAATAGTCTTCGCAGCTGAAACTCCACCATTTCAATTGTACAAACTTTATTCAGACTTGTGAGAGGAAAAAATATCGCTCATTACCATCCTAAAAGCCTCATACTGTTAATAACTTCAATAATGTGTACATAAGCCTAGTAGGTACTTCGCTGTCATCAATGGAAAAATTGGAAAAGAAAAATGAAAGATACGTAATCGGAAATATTGTTGTTTTTATTGCTGCTTCCCCAAGAATTTTAATTTATTTTCTAATAAATTACTTTGATTTATCATCATCCTTCACTGCCATACGTTCGTTTATGAATTTTTCAGTGGAAAAACCCGGCAAAAAATATAGGAAAAGTTATGAAAAATCAGAGGGGTTCTTTCAAATTTATTTATTAATTGATGAATTTATTACGTTCACACGATCGAAAATAATGAGGATGTTTTTACTGCAGCTTCTCCATGACTTTGAATTCATTTCCTGTATATAAATTATTTTGATTTACTACTCTTCACTGCCACAGTTTATTGATGAATTTTTCGATGGGAAAACGCGTAAAGATCTCGTTACGCTCGCCAACCCCCCTATGACCCTTGTGACTTTTAATCTGACCCTCATTATACCCCTCGTGACCCTGGTGATCCTTGGTTTTGACCCCCATGACCCTTATTTGGACCCTTACTCACTTTCGTGACACTTATTTAGGCCCTTAATCTGACCCTTGTGACGCAAATTTTGATCACCAGAAGTCGATTTGGATTACTGTAATATAGAGATATATGGAGGCCCTTATTTTGGCCCTTGTGACCCTTAGTTTGGTCTAATGACCCTTATTTTGACCCTAGTGATCGCGATCCTGGCCCTCATGACCCTTATTTTGACCTTTGAGGTCTTAATTTTGAATACCGAATTTTCACGCTCATGACCTCCACGATCCTTATTCTGACCCTGTTACCCTTATTTGGACCCTTAATCTAACCCATGTAACCCTTAATCTGACCCATGTGACCCCTATTTGGATCATTATTCCGACCCTCATGATCCTTAATATGATCCTCGTGACCCTTATTGAGACCCTCATCTTTTATTGATACCCTCATGACCCTTAAACTCACGTTAACATTATGACCATTAATCTAACCCTCATGACCCTTATTCTGACCAACGTGATCTTTATTCTGACCTTCGCGACCCTTATTTTGACTCTCATGCCCCTTATTCTGACCCTTGTGACCCTTACTCTGACCAATGTGATCTTTATTCTGACCGTCGCGACCCTTATTTTGACCCTCATGCCCCTTATTCTGACCCTTGTGACCCTTATCCTTACCTTCGCGACCCTTACTTTGACCCTCATGATCCTTATTGTGACCCTCATGACCCCTAATTTTGGACTCTTAATTGCGAGTACCAAATTTTCATCACCAGTCGATTTTTTTTTATCGTTATCGCACCATTCTACCCGGCCGAGATTTGAACTCGGAACCTTTCGCATGTGAGGCAACGAACTTACCCACTGCGCCAAGCCACCGGGCAGCAGTCGATTTGAATTTTTATAATATAGAGAGATTTTAAATCCAATCTCTCAAATTTATTATTCAAAAAATCAACGAATCAACATCATTTGAAATTCCATTTGTTTACTCAATTCTAACAACATCGACGCATTTGTCTCTTCTCTCTCCTCGGTCCCATATTTTTCCCACTGCCGATCTCTTCCTCAATGAAAGTAATTATAAACCTGCAGATGGGAAGACGTGGAGGGACAGAATGGGCTTGCGTTAGCGTTAATCACCTCCACATGCAATTTTCTCCTCCGATAATCGTCAACTGCCTGCTCCAGTGCCTTCGTCAGTGCGACCTGCAACGAAGTTACAACACTGCATTTGAAATTTTCATTTACCCCGGGGAAATTACAAAGCCACAAATTAAACATTCAAACGAACCTGACACATTTTCAATCTTGAACTTCCCTCCGCTTCGCTCGCACTTTTGATTTTCTTTCCCTCTTTCTTCGACTTTCTCGATGCTTTTCGGCAAACTTTTTTCACCAAGTCCTCACGCTCACGCTGGAAATTCTCATGCTGAAACTCGTGCACATCCGGATTACGCGAATTACACAGGGGATCACGATTGTGTGATGTCACTTTACGAAATCCATAGAGATTTAGCTGGCGGATGAAGCTCGTAACATTGCTCGTTTTGAAAATTGAATTTTTCGGGTCGAGGTACTCGTCGTGAAATTTTTTGTAATCCAGGAGAATACTGCCACCGCTATTGCTCCAGCTTATGGCGCCGCTGGTGCATTCATTCACTATTCTCCACAATTTTTGGGGAAAACGAGTCGAGAGTAACAGGCAATCGTCGTACATGGTTTTGTGTCATTAGACGTTTGTCTTCTATTTTGTTTGAGGGTCGGGGCCGGAGGGGTCGGTCGGGACAAGTGAAAATCGAGTCGCGTTGGCGCCGCGTTTTGTTTATTTGAGCTTTTCCGCTATTTCTTCGATTCGGAATTTGTTGCTTTTTAATGGTATTAAAACAAACATTTTAAGGTATGATTGAATTCATTTGAGGCATGACATTCAAAGATATCCCCGGAATTCTGATTTTCAAAAAATACAAAATTTTTGCAAATTTTCAAATAAATCAAAATAACGATTATTGCTATCGCCTTTACCTTCGAACTCAGTCAAAAGGACATCCAAACAAATTTTTAAAGCCGTCATTCAATCAATTCAGAACATTTTTTTAATTATCGTGGGACAACCGATTGTCGAAAAAAAAAGAAAATAAAAAAAACTAATTGATGAATTAAATTTTAATTAATGGCGATTAATATGGGTCAACAATACTTCGACTTAATGACATTGAAACAAATATTTTAAGCTACGATTGAATTCATTTGAAGCATGATATTCAAAGATATCCCCGGAATTCTAATTTTCAAAAAATACCAAATTTTTGCAAATTTTCAAATAAATCAAAATAACGATTATTGCTATCGCCTTTATCTTCGAACTCAGTCAAAAGGACATCCAAACAAATTTTTAAAGCCGTCATTCAATCAATTCAGAACATTTCTTTAGTTATCGTGGGACAACCGATTGTCGAAGAAATTCGAAAATGAAAAAAACTAATCGATGAATTAAATTTTAATTAATGGCGATTAATATGGGTCAACAATACTTCGACTTGATGGCATTGAAACAAATATTTTAAGCTATGATTGAATTCATTTGAGGCATGACATTCAAAGATATCCCCGGAATTCTGATTTTCAAAAAATACAAAATTTTTGCAAATTTTCAAATAAATCAAAATAACGATTATTGCTATCGCCTTTATCTTCGAACTCAGTCAAAAGGACATCCAAACAAATTTTTAAAGCCGTCATTCAATCAATTCAGAAAATTTTTTTAGTTATCGTGGGACAACCGATTGTCGAAGAAATTCGAAAATGAAAAAAAAAATCGATGAATTAGATTTTAATTAATGGCGATTAATATGGGTCAATAATACCTACATTTGAAACAAAAATTCAATTCCATCCAGTCGTTAGCGAACAATTGGAGAAAAACTTTGTTGCATACGTAATATTTCTAATTTACGAGTAAAAATATATCGACTGTGTTGTGACGAAAGCAATTTTCCACTTGTTTCGAACTTTCAAAGGTCCGAGAAACTTTTGAAATGCGGTGGCCACTGGTGCGGTTGGAGGGGGAGGGGGATCGTTGGGGTTGAGTGAGGCTGACGATAACAGACCGCACGGGGTGTTAACAGTTGAGAAAACTAGAGAACTAAACTGCGCAGTAATAGGAGAGCAAATGGATTTCAATGATTAGGCATCAATTTGTTTGTCTGCAAGTGTGAAACATTTCTATTAAAAATTATATTTATTAGCTTTTGGCTGTTTTTATTGAAAAAATACACACCTTTTTTGAGCATTTCTTCAATAGAAATGATCAAAAGGAAATTTTTAGCAGGAAAATACTCTAATTACTCTGGACTACGAAAATAAAAATTACCAGTCGCTTTTTTTGTCATCAGAAAATATTTATTTCTTCGGTGATAACTTAGACATATTCACAGTGCATCAATCAAATATAAAATATATATATTCTATGAGTAATAAATTATGTACAATTAAGGCAGATTGATCAATCTCATAAATAATACTATTTACTGTTCTTGCAGGTGTGAAAAATTTTTATAGAAGAACCTAGAGAATTCAGTAGACAATTCTATTGAATTTCTATTAGTTTTTGGCCCATTCTATTGCCAAATTGTATTTAAATGATCCACAGAAAAAATTCTAGAGAACAAGCCAATGGAATTTGATTTTTCTACACAACTTATTCGATCGAGATATTTTCGACCGAAATTCCTCGGCTGATTTCCCTCAAATCCTCGGCTCAAATTTTCCAAGTTTTTTTGTTTAATTTTCTTGATGAAGAGAAAGAAGAAAAATAGAATAAAAAAATTAGGAAAATTTGAGCCGAGGAAATTCTATAGAAAATATTTCAGTAGAATAAATTGTTTAGAAAAATCTAATTCTATTGATTTTTTTTCTATAGAATATTTTCTATTGAATATTCCAATAGAATTGGGCAAAGACTAATGCAAAATTGAATTCGCTAGGTTTTTCTACTAAATTTTTTCGTGCGTGTGATGAAAAAATGGGAAAGTCGCATCAATGAAATAGTTTAATTTATGTTACTATAGGTTTTGTCTCATCGATTGCTTCCATAATTTTTCATCCGTTCTTGAGAGGAAATTCTTTCTCTTGATACCGTCAATGCAGCCGTTTCCGACATAGAAATTAATTTTTTAAATTCGGGTTTCATGAATTCAGCAGCGAAGCGATCAGTTTTCGACGAATATCTCGAAACCTAAAGGAGATAGCGAAATTTTTGTTATAACCTTTTTTGTAGTCCTCACTCCGCTCCACAAAAAAGGTTATTACGAAAATTTCGTTATCTCTCTTAGATTCGGAGATATTCCTCGACAACTGGGACAAGAGTCAAGTCGACTTGAACTGTTTTACCGTTTAGCCACTTTTTTTTTTGAAGTACCGGTTAATTAAGTTCGTATGAACATACCTCGATTTTTGAAGACTGAAATGTGAAATTAATTTTAAATGGAAGTTAATGTGAATAGAAAATTCCAGGTGAATTTTTCCCCAATCGATCGTCTAGTATGTATTGATAATAATTTAATTTAGAGGTGCTAAATAACACAGAGAAAGTTAGGAGGAAGTTTTCAAGCTCAAGAAGAAGATTAAATACTCGAAGAAAAAAAATTCAGAAAAAAATTCAAGTCAAACCAGAACTTATGATTTAAAAAAAAATAAAAAAAAAATTTGATGGTCTAATTTCTCAAGAATTATCAAAGCTAGAATTAATATAAAAGGTGATCAATGGTGAAGAATTTTTTAGCCATTTTAAGTTCATTTTTATCGTGACAATCAATGACTCGACTGAGGTATGTTCATACTACTTTTAAGTAGTATAAACACACCTCAATTCTTAAAGATTAAAATTAGAAATCCATTTTAAATTGAAATTGATATAAATTTATTATTAACAGTAATTAATTTGGAGGTGTATAAGATAACAATTGGCAAAATAAAAATAAAAATTCGATGTCCAACATAAATTCATAACAAAATAAAATCACCCTAGTCGACCGATCGATTTTCACCTCAAAAAACAATTTAAAAATAATCTGATGGGCTAATTTCACTCGCTCATTACAGATGGAATTCATCTAAGAAATTGTCAATGGTAAATGATTATTTTTCTGGGCATTTTGAGTTAATTTTCCTCGTTACACTTAATGTCTCGCCTGAAGTATGTTCATACTACTTCAAGGTAAATTGTCCCCAAAGTGAATTGGAAAAATTTTCAAACAGAAATATTTGCAGTTGCTGAATTGAATCCCACATTTTTTCATTCTTGAGTGAATCCAAGTGTTCGGAGGACATTAATCCCTCCAATATTAATTAACCCCTCACGTGCGGGCCCTTTGCTACCAAATGTGCGCGGACAGAAATTTTTTAGAAAAATTCTAGTGCTGTCAACGTAAAATTCCTAGGGATTTCTGATCAATTTTCCGGGGATTTCGGCAAAAATTTCATTCATTAACGAGAAAAAATCACGCGCTACACATTATAATTTCATAATTTCATGAGAATTTCTCTCCGTGTGGTGGATGAAAAATGATAAAACTTGGGTGCCATGGAAATTGAGAGTGGGGTAACCTCGGAGGTTACAGCTGGAGGGGCTACAAAACCACCCAAATTTCATAATTTTTTTCTCGAGACTGAGATCTGCAAAAAAATGTGCAAAAATTCTCAATGACGCAGCAAACTCAGCCATTTCTCCCCCGAATTTTCCAATTTTTTTTCATCATTTCGACTGCTCACACGAAACACCTTAAAACTGCGCTATTCAGCTTTCGAACTGTATCGCACTATCCGCGATAGTTTCGGAAATATTCAATTGCGAAAACAGTCGTGCATGTTGGCATTTGAGGGGTTAAACCCCCCAGAGGGTGTCAGTCATCGTCTGAGGGTAAAAAATTTACAAAATCAGCGGTAACTGCTCTATTCACACACTGAAGGGGGGAAGTGGCTGGAGATACTCCTGTGGTTGTGTGGGTGCAGGTACAAGATACCCCTCCGAGTCCAGGAGATCGAGAGAACGAATTGCCACAGGTCCCTGAGGTGGCCTCGGTAAACTCCCTTTTTCCGGCATTTCCATAATCTCCCGCCCTTTCTCCAATCTCTCAAGTATCTCCGGAAATTTCAAACGATCCCGCGACTCTGATTTCCAACACTCCGACATTATTTTACATATGAATGGTGGACAATCCTCGGGTGGAATGAGCATTATACCCTGCAAAATGAGTTTAACAACTTCTTCGTTGTTGTGGCCATAGTAGGGCTGTTTACCGTACGAGTAAACTTCCCATAAGACAACCCCAAAACTCCAGACATCACTCTCGAGAGTAAAACGCCCATACATCACGCTCTCCGGGGACATCCAACGAACGGGGAGCATTCTAGATCCACCAATCTGTCGGGATAATGAGAACAGGTGAACACCAGAGGCGGGACAAGTTTCTTTCGTTGGGTACTTCATCACTTGTGCGTAATGTGAAATTTTTCACACATTGTGATGATAAATAGGGGGTGACACTCGTGGTCATGTGACCGTCATTGACGGTCATGTGACCGTCACTAACGGTCGTGACCGTCATTGACGGTCACATGACGAGGCGTTCAAGACGGCTGTCACAATTCCCCCTCCCCCTTCTGTGACCGTCACAACTTTTCAAGAAAAAATGACAGTCATTTTTCATCCATATAGATGAAACTTTATTTTTTTCTCGGTCAATTTTCAGTTGAATTTCTTTCGTATTGGCCTAATCCGCATTTTGAAATGGAAATCCCGTTTTTTTTTCCATCGCTGTAGATGAAACTATTTTGTTTTATTCATGGCCGTCACAAATTGGAAATTAGTTGTGACCGTCATTATGCAACTATATACTATTAAGATTTCAAATGTCTTTAACTAAGATTTTCAAAAATCTATAAAATATGAAGCCTCGAAGTGTTAAATTGAAAATGTCGAAAGTCTCAGTTTGAGACGTCGAGATCTCAATTTAAGACTTCTGGAAGCCGCAAGTTGAGACTTTGGATGGTCTTAATTAGAGACTTTTAAAAGTATGAATTTAAGACGTTTGAAAGTATGAACTTCAGATTTTTGAGGGTCTCAATTTAGGACTTTTGATGAAATATATAAAAATCATAAAATTTTATGAAATTTATGAAATTCGTGAAATTTTATGAAATTCATGAAACTCATGAAATTTTATGAAATTTATGAAACTCATGAAATTTTATGAAATTCACGAAATTCACGAAATTTTATGAAATTCTATGAAATTCGTGAATTTTTTTATGAAACTCATGAATTTTTATGAAATTTATGAAACTCATGAAATTTTATGAAACTTGATGAAATTGTATGATTTATAAAATTCATGAAATTTTATCACATTTATGAAATTTATGATCTGTGAAACATTTTAAAGCCTCAGTTCGAAACTATAAGTCTCAAAATAAAGCTCGTTTTTTTGTGTAAATTTCGAGTGAACTTTACGCACGCCGTGCAGAAAACAAACACTTAGGCCGAGTAAAAGAACACTTTTCCCACGAGTGTCGAACCCCATTTTCCTTCACAATGTTTCTACCAGAACGAAGCGTGCGTAAAATTTCACTTTACGCGCAAGTGATGAAAAACAAACTTTTCGGGCAAATATTACCAAAAAGTATAAACATAACTTTAATTTTGAGAATTAAAATCTGAAGTAGCAGCCGTCTAGTATAATTCTTAATAATCCTATTCCTAAATACTAATAAATACCAAAAACCCATCTAATTTCCCATCTTCTCCCCTAAATAACTTGAGTATCCAATAAAACAGTGGGAATACCATTAAAAAATGACGGTGATTACCTTATAATAGTCGCAAGTGTAGACATCCCTCGACATTCCGAAGTCGGCAATCTTGACAACTAAATCAGCCCCAACGAGGCAATTACGACAGGCAAGGTCACGGTGTACAAATCTCTGGGCGGAGAGATACGTCATACCGGAGGCAATTTGCACCGCAATCCAGTACAATGAGTCCTGCAATTGAAATTAATAATAAAATCCCATCGATTCGACTGCCTCATCGAAATTGAAAAGTTAATATTTACAACCTTAGTCAAGGGCTCGAGTCCGGCAATAGAGCAGCTGGAAAATTGTCGTGAATTGGCTCTCAGGACTTCCGCAAGATCGCCGTACGGCATGTACTCAAAAACCATCCAGGGACTGTTGCTGGAGTCCCTGAGGACGACCCCTATCAGTGACAAAATATTATCGTGACGAAAAGTCGACATTATTTCAACTTCTCTCATAAAGTCATCCTCAGCTTCGCGTGACGCTGAGTCTTTGAGTACTTTAACCGCGACAATTTCCGTTCTGTCACCGTGACAAAGTTCACCTGGCAAAGGGCAACGGAAAGAGATGTATTAGAGTTAAAGTTGAGGAGAAAAGTTGAAATGTGCTCTCGTTCCATGACGAGGGCTTAAAGCACTCGGGGATTTGTATGTGTTCGCTCGGGATTCTTTTTGCCCTCTTACCTTTGTACACCTTTCCAAAACAGCCTTCACCTACGTCGTACAGAAAGACTAAGTGGTCGCGCCGAAGAATCGGCACTTCTGGGGGTGTGCAACCGAAGTACTGAGGGTTGGCGATGTACTTGTTGGGGAGGAGGAGACTTTTCTTCAAGTTCAGGGGAGTTAGCTGAAAATATAGTTGAGGGATTATATTTTTTGGGGGAGGAAGTTTGGAATATTATTCGGGTGAAGTCGAGTTAAGGGAGACGAGTCGACAATTTATTTTATATTAATATAGTATATTAATATTTTATATTATATTGATGCAGAAATATATTAATATAATATGAAATATATAATATTAATACAAAATCTATATTTATATATATTATATTTATTTAATAATATAATAATATAATATATATAAATAAATATAATATATATAAATATAGATTTTATATTAATATACTTTCGCTTCGTTCAAATTCAAGTTTTGGATTTTTTAAATTCAAATTTAATTCATCGATTAATTTTTTAAATTTTCGAATTTTTTTGAAAACCGGTTGTCCCACGATAACTAAAAAAATGTTCTGAATTGATTGAATGATGGCTTTAAAAATTTGTTTGGATGTCCTTTTAATCGAGTTCGAAGATGAAGGCGATAGCAATAATCGTTATTTTGATTTATTTGAAAATTTGCAAAAATTTTGTATTTTTTGAAAATCAGAATTCCGGGATATTCTGATTTTCAAGTATGTGTAAATAAAATTTTTCTATCAAATTTTTATCGAAGGGCTGAGGGGAGAGATAGAACCGTAAAAAAGGGAATCGGTTGTAGAGAAGAAAAGAATTTTCCCAATTATTCTCACATTATTAAGAATAACATTTTCAATTCTAAATTAAAATACAAAAATAATTACTTTACTATTTCATGTAAAATTCCATTCAATTCCATCGTAAATTAGATTTAACATCGTTATAATTGTTAATTAGTCCCTCAGAAACTGAAATAAAAAAAAGGGAAGTAAAAATAAAAAAATCTCGACAATTTCACGAAATTTAAAAGTAAAATTGAATAAAAAGGAAAAAATCTGGATTACAATCTTTTCATGAGTGGAACATCTGGGATTATTTCTGATATTGATCGTCAAGAATTCAAAGAACTTGTCCTCGTTTTCTTATTCCCGGAATTGTTGAAGTAAAATGGATTATCAATCACTCCGAGAATCACAAATTTCCCTGGGCTCTTTCATCCCCAGAACGTCAAAGTATTGAATATCTATAGTTATCATCTTATTCCACTCCATTGATCATTAATTCTTTTTTATTGAGATACTCACGTCGAGAGTCTTTCGCTCGACTTTTTTACTGTAACATTTTCTTCTCCACAAGCAGAATATGACTGCAACGATTCCGATTAGTACCAGACAGGCTATCAAGACGCCAATCATCCCAGCGACTTTCTCGTGATGTCTCTCCTCCACCTAAAGGATGAAAAAAGACCTCAGACTAGAAAAACGCGGAATGAAATGTAAAGAAATGTTAGAAATGAAACGTTGTATTTAATGAAATGTGAAGAAATGTTCAATGAAAAATGTTGGGCAGAAAAAGTAGATTTTTTTATACAGTTTATTCTATTCAGGTATTTTCTATGGATATTTCTAGGTTCAAAACCTTTTTGATGAATCTTTTCAATGAAGTAGAATAGAAAATAATTACAAAATTCATTTCGAGGAATTCCTACAGAAAAAGTTTAAGATTGAGAATTGTGAGGCAAAGAATAATTTGTGAGTTTGAAGAATTTGAAAAGATTTTTTTCTTTTCTTTGCTTTTCTTTTCATTTTATTTAAGCGAAAGCATTTTTAAAAACTTAGTGAATTCACTAAAAAATGCCGCAGCTTATCTGTGCATTTTCAATAGAAATGTTCAATGAAAATATTGGGCATAAAAAGTGGATTTTTCTTTACAACTTATTCTATTGAGGTATTTTCTATGGATATTTCTAGGTTCAAAATTTTGACTTTTTTTTAATCAATTTTTTCAGTGAAATAGAATGGGAAAAAAATTACAAAATTCATTTTGAGGAATCGCTATAGAAAAAGTTTAAGATTGAGAATTGTGACGCAAAGAATAATTTATGAGTTTAAAAAATTTGAAAATACCCTTTTTTTTAGCGACTAGTCCTCGCAAATCATTGACCAATCAAAATCAACAATTAGTGATTAGCCAATTTAGATCCATTTTGACAAAAACAACATCAAGAAATTTTAATCTTTTATTGAAAGGGAATTTTTCCATGCGTGTCAAAAACTGCGTCAATTGTAATATAATGTAATTGATATTTAATAATCATCACGTTAAATAATAAAATACAATAAATATAGAACTGCATAATAAACTATTTGAAACAATAATAATTCTTTTCAGTAAAATATAACAATAATTTTTTCTTTAAATGAGTCACATGTCAGTGTGTTGTCTTAAAGCAACAGAAAATAAAATTCCATCCCCTTTAACGGCTCTTGTTATTAATAATTTATTCACCTGTTTAGGCACGAGTAGAGCACCGGTACTATTAGTGGCATTACCGGGAGGTGGTATGACATTAATATGTATCGGTCGTGCTTCTGTGAGGGGCACGGTGAATCGTATCGGGCACCTGAGGTCGTCAGTGGGTGTAGATAAATCATGCGGACAAACGCACTTTGAAGTGTTATTGGGTAACCTCCAGCATGCAGCCTCATCCCCGCAGATGCTTGTTCTCCCTTCACAGTTTTTGAACTTGTCCGGGCCTTCCAGTGTCGGCTGCAGACGCTCCAGAATTTCAGTCCTCCCGTTGTAGAGATCGGGAGTCGTATCTGGAAAGAATTGGAAAGTTTATGCGGGTTTTGGTGCGGTGATCCCGGGAATATATTTGGGTAGATTTCATTTTTTTGCTGACGAACGTTGAGGCAATGTTGACTGTCAATGTCGGGGCAATGTTGGGGCAATGTTGGCTGTCAACATTGAGGTAAATTTGGCTGTCAACGGTGGGACAATGTTGGCTACCAACGTGGGGACAATGTTTACTATCAACATTCCAGCAATGTTGGGGAAATGTTGGCTGCCAACATTAAGGTAATGTTGGCTGTCAACGTTGGGCCAATGTTGGCTACCAACGTCGGGCCAATGTTGGCTACCAACGTCGGGGTAATGTTGGCTGCCAACATTGGGATAATATTGGCTGCCAGCATTGGGGTAATGTTGGCTGCCAACATTGGGATAATATTGGCTGCCAACATTGGGATAATATTGGCTGCCAGCATTGGGGTAATGTTGGCTGCCAGCATTGGGGTAATGTTGGCTACTAATGTTGGGGAAATGTCGGTAGCCAACGTTGGGACAATATTGATTGCCAACTTTGGGCCAATGTTGGCTCCCAACGTTGAGCCAGTGTTGGCTACCAACATTGGAGCAATGTTGGCTACCAACGTCGGGGTAATGTTGGCTGCTAATGTTGGGACAATGTTGACTGTCAAGGTTGAGGCAACGTTGGGGCAACGTTGGCTACCAACGTTGGGACAATGTTGAATTTAATGCATCATTGAATAAAACAAAAAAAGAAAAGCAGTTTCTTTAATCCTATTTTATCGAAGTTTTAAGATAATACAGATACCATTATTCTTTTATTTGATTTAAACAAGAATTTTTACAAGAAACCTTGTACTTAAAAAAATATATCATTTCCAAGATCTGTTATTAGAATTATCAACAGGTGAATTTTGACTCATATCTCTCATCACTTGCCTTTATAATTGAATGAAATTTTCTATTCGCCAAAAAATCGACGGAAAGCGGGCGGAATGAAACAGAAGAATACAAGTAAAACGTCGTCTCATTTTACCCCCTCATCGCCAGATAGTGCGCACTGGAACTGTTCGACGTTCTACCAATTTTCTATATCGAATAAAATTGAGATTCAAATTTCCGCTGATTTTCCAACGACCTAATACGTCTTATGAGGATAAAACCCTTCCGTTGAATATTCCACGAGAATTTCCGTGGATTCAAGGCGGAATTATCCACTACGATAGCGCATAAACACGATCCCTCCGTGTACTCGGAATTACGCCATTTATTCTAATTAAGTAGGGTAATTTAGAAATGTTTGTAATTGCCTCTTGAAATTCGCTACCTGTTCTCTCTATTCATATACACTGTCAGAAAATATTAAAATTTCGCGAAGATAATTCGATGGGATTTTTCGGGAGAGTAACAGCCAGTTCGATTGAGCGGTGACACAAATGAGGGATTTTAATTTCTCTGAAAATTTTATGGATTTTATAACTTACTTGAATTGTTAATGAAAACATAAACGGGCAGTACCAAATATTGAATTTTCCTCATCTTCAGTATTTTTGAGGAAATAATTGAAACGAAATTCAAAGTTTTCATTATTTTTTTTTCAGAAAATTGTGAATTTTCAATGATGAAAGCTCTTAAAATTTCAGTACAATTGTCACTTGAAAAAAAATTGCCAAAAGTTTAACAAAAAATGTATATTCAGTATCAAATAATGCTGATTTTTCAATCAATTGAAAATTTAAGGAAACATTCACCTGAAATTTCCTCATCTTTAGTATTTTTGAGGACATAATTGAAACGAAATTCAAAGTTTTTATTTTTTTTTTCAGAAAATTGTGCATTCTCAATTTTTGCAGACCTATCACTTTAAAAAAATTCTTAAAAGTTCATCAAAACATGAATATTCAATACAAAATAATGCTGATTTTCCAGTTGATTAAAAATTCCAGGAGATGTTCACCAGAATTTTCTTGATCTTCACTATTTTTGATGAAATTCACAATTTTCATCATTTTTTTTTCAATTGTAAATTTTCAATTACGAAATTCCTTGAAATGTCACTAGCTATCATTTAAAAATATTACCAAACATTAGTACCAAATTACTCAGAATTCGCAATTAAATTAAAAATCGACGAATATATTCCCTGATTTTTCCTGGTTTCCATTACTTTCAATGAAATAACTGAACAAAAATTCACAGATTCATCGGTTTTTCCATAAAATCGCAAATTTCCAATGGCAAAATTCCTTAAATTTTCGCTGAAACCGTCTCTCACCAAAAGTTTCCCCGAAATTTCCGCGAAAAATGTTGAACATTGTACTCCCACAACTCCCCCGAAATCCCCCTTCCAAAAAATGAACAATGGACCGAGTCATACCTCAAAACCCGTTCTTTTCCATCTCCCCATTGTCAATAAAGTTCGGATAAACATAATAGAGCTTCTGGGATTTGGATTCACCCAGTAGTACATAATGCGGAATGGAGGATAGGAGACAGTGAGGGGCATTCATGTTGTTAAAGTTGCGGGGCCCCGCAACGGGTCAGAGCGTTATCTCCACGGTCAACGGAGTTGGACAACGGCTCTCGCTATGTCTTCCTCGGACTCCAGTAAACCTCCCTACCATAAACCCATCTGAGCCTTGATGGATCCCCAACGTTTTTTTTATTCCCTCTCTACTTGTTTTTTCTTAGCCATCCGCGTCCTCGGTACACGTCAGGCGCCATCATACCTATGTTATGACACGAGACATTTATTTTCAAAGCAAATGCGCCACTCCTTCCGTATTTACTCCTACGCATTCAATGTTTGAGGAAAGAAAAATATTGAGGATGAGAAAAGTGATTTTTTCGCTGTTGTTGGTGGGGGGATGGGGAAAATTCTGTCTTTTTATATAAATTATTTCAATTGTAGTGGAGATGCATGTTCTCAAAAGAGTTTTTCATTACGTGAGCGTAAAGTGAAATTTTACGCGCGCTCCTCGTGCGCAAAATCGCGTTTTCCACATCTTGTGATGAAAAATGGGGTTCGAAACTCATGGGAAACGTGTTCTTTAAGCTTCGGGAGGACAGCACTCGCCTTCGACGGGCGCCTTCGTGGTGTGCCTTCGGGTGTGCCTTCGTGGGCACACCTCCCACGGGTCAAAAATCACTTTTTTGTGGTACCCGCCTGAAAAGTGCACTTTTCGAAACGGGTTGATGTGCGTAAAACAGCTGTTTTCCGCGTAAAGCTTCGCTTTACGCACTAGAAATTCACTTTACGCACGCTCTTGAACTTTATGCACTTGGGCACAAAAACAGCCATTTTACCTCCACTACCGTTCCGTCTGTGACCTCGGCAGGTATCACAAAAAATAGGATGTGTTACACGTGTGTGCGAAAACGTGAAATTTTACGCACTAGTAACAAAATGTACTATTTTCTACTACCTGTCTGAAAAGTGGACTTTTCAAAACGGTTTAGTGTGCGTAAAACAGCGGTTTTCAGCGTAAAGCTTCGCTTTACACACTAGAAATTCACTTTACGCACGCTCTTGAACTTTATGCACTTGGGCACAAAAACCGCCATTTTACCTCCACTACCGTTGCGTCTGTGACCTCGGCAGGTATCACAAAAAATAGGATGTGTTACACGTGCGTGCGAAACAGTGAAATTTTACGCACTGGTAACAAAATATACTATTTTCTACTACCTGCCTGAAAAGTGGACTTTTCAAAACGGTTTAGTGTGCGTAAAGCGGTTGTTTTCTGCACGGCGTGCGTAAAGTTCATGAGCGTGTGTAAAGTGAATTGTCGCGTGTAAAACTTTGGTTTACGCACTGAAAATTCACTTTACGCACGCTCTTGAAATTTACGCACTCTTGCACAAAAACAAACACTTTACCCTCGCTACCGTTCCGAAAGGTAAAGTCGACAGGTATCACAAAACAGCTATTTTTGTCACAACGCTAAAAAAACTCTTCAGACGAGTGTGAAGGTTGCAGACCAAGGCGAAGCTGAGGAATGTAATGACACGAGTGAGAAAAGTTGTTTTCGACCGAGTGACGAAATAGTATATTTCGATACGAGTACGTAAAAGTGGTTTTTTGACCCGTGGAAGGTGTGCCAAGGGTCAAAAAACACTTTTCCCACGAGTATCGAACCCTATTTTTCATTACAACGTGCGTAAAGTGAAATTTTACGCACCCTCCGCGTGCGCAAAATTCCACTTTTCGCACAAGTGATGAAATACAGTATTTTCTGACACAAACCTGAAAAGTGCACTTTTCGAAACGGTTCAGGGTGCGTAAAGTGGTTATTTTCTGCATGCCGTGAATCCAATCTAGGGGTTAAGAACATGTCTTTCATCCATCCAAATAAATCAACAATTGACCGACATTTTCCAATCTGAATCATCTTCGTAATTGAAAAACGCGCGAAACTCTCAAGAAGTCAAGAAATAAAAAAATCTTTTTTATGTCGAGTTTTCAAAGGAGTTAATTTCCTGACGAGGGGCTAGGGTCGCAAGAAAAAATGGATTCATTGATAAAAAATTATTATTGAAGAGACATTAAATGATACGAATGTGAAGTTTCAATGAATCGGATAATGTGGTTTCTTCAAGATTTTTATCACCAATCGAATACTAAAATTCTAGTGTCGATAATCTTTTCAAGCTCTTACTTTCGATTTGCTGGAGAGAAGGGGAATCGAGTGGTGGGAGTTGACCTTCTCTATCGCTCTGACCCCAACGGAACGTTAAAACAGCCGGACTATCGGTCAGCTATCGCAACAAATTTCTTAGATCCCTTATTTATCATTAAATTACTGAAGTCACAAGTACAACTGTCTCGACGCATTTGTGAATTATGTCCCAGCAATTAGTTTTTTATCGTCGAAATTTTTGTGTTATGTCACTGAAGAGGCTTCACGTATTTTTAGAGTTTATACTCGACCCTCTCATAAAATTTAACACAGGCAGACCCAGAATTTCTCCGAAGTGAGGATTATTTAGAATGAAATTCCTGTCCAGTACTTGTTATTCTGTTGTTATTGACTACCCATTAACACTGATAAATTCTTCGACTTCATTGATTGCAACGCATTCCGGCGGAATGATGCCACAAAATCAGTGCACATGTAGGTCGTAGGCGGACGATGCGGGTAAACGTAATTCAGTGAATTTGTGCGCAGAAAATCTAGGGCTTATCGGTTTGAGTCCTAATGACTACGAGTTTATCAACTACTCAGATTACAAACAGTCCCTTTCACCCTTCGCGTCGTACGAAAATCCTCTCTCCGTTCTAATCTTGATGGGTTCGGCCCCTCCTGCCGTTTTTGGATTATTGATTTACGGTTTAATATAAATCATGGGTTCAGTGATAGGGCTATTTGGTTATGGGCAACGAGCTTTTACAAGAAAACTTGACTCTAACTTTAAATTTAACTCAACTTGACTTAAAGTTTAATGTTTAATTTTTTTGTTTGAGTTGGTTGTCCAATTTTAAGCAAATTGTTCCGGTGAATTGTTTATTGGGACCAAATGAATAATTTTTTTTTAAAGTTGAACTTTATTTTTATTTGCAAAAAATAAATGGTTTTTCGAACATGAACTGATTTTTATTTGGTTCGAATGAAGATTTTTATTAGTTAAAAATGAAATATTTGTTCAGATGGTGAAGAGAGTATTTATTAGCGTTTAATAATCTTTTGTTTTGATCAAATAAATTGTTTGTTTTGTAGGATTGGAAAAATTTAATTAAAGTGAATATGAGTTTATTATTTTTTAAATAAAAAAATTGTTGAAATGAGTAGAAAAAGTTTAAGTAAAATGTTGCTGCGGTGTAATTTTAATTTTACGATTGAACTGTGAAATCCTTGACGGAATCGATCGCACTGTTGAGGTAAAATACTGAAATTTCCAATTCCACTAAAAATGCAATGAAATTTAGAATTTTTAAGCATTTTACTTATATTTTCAATTAAAACGTAGATATTCAGCACCGAATCACAATGAATTTTCAATTAATTCAATTCAATTCAGTTTAAATTTAAGAATATGTATAGTTATCTAAATTCCTGGAGTAATTGAACGTAAATTTATATTTTGCATTGTTTTTTCGTCGGATTGTAAATTTTCGAAGACGAACTGCATTAAAATTTACTGTAATGTAACTGTAACTTGATAACAATTTTTAACGTTTCTAGTATTTTTTTACTGTGTAGTTAACTATGAATCCTCTTTCCGAAAACAACAAATTCAAAAATCTCTAAATACTAGACAAATTCGTCGTAAACATTAGAATAAATAGGAAAAAAGCGTAAATATCAAGATTAAGAGAAAATCACTCATAATATGAATAAATTCGGTAAATTTTCCCGCTTCAAACAACGAAATGAATAAAAACTGCAAATTAATCTTTTCAATAAAAAAATGCTATTTTTTTGTATAAAAAATACAAAATACAAAAATACAAATAAAAAGTTGTTGCGATGAAATTTCCGTCGTACGAATGAACTAGTGAATAAATTCTATGAATTTTCCCACTTCAAGCAATAAAATAATAAAAAACAAACACAAATAAACAAATTAATACAAATTACATTTTAAAAAACTAAACAAATTAAAAAACAAACAATTAATCACAAAACAATCAACAAATAAACAATTAATCATTAAACAATTAATTTGTTTATTTATGTTATTAAATAAACAAATTAATTAAATCAATTGTTTATAATATATTTGTCTATTTTTTAAATTTTTTATTTATGTTATTAAATAAACAAATTAATTTTTTAATAACAAATTATCAGAGTGAATTTGTGCCAAAGTAAATACTTCTTGCGATGAAATTTCAGTAGTACGAATGAGCCAGTGAATAAATCCGCTGAATTTTCCCACTTCAAACAATAAAATAAAATAAAACCCGATCTTATCATTAAAAAAATTACCAGACTGGATCTGTGCCGAGTTCGCTACCAGACCTCTCCTCCGCGGTATCCTTTCGCGTTTCATCGCCCACTGAAATCCCTTTCCGCACTCTTTAAACACTTTCCTAGATTATTTATCCCTTCTTCACGAAAGAGTTCACAACAATTATATTATTTGAAAAATTTAATTAGTGCGCGCGTGATAATTTGCGCGTCGGAGTGCGGCGAGGAGTATCTATTAGCTGCTGAACTAGAAATTCATGAGATGAGGCATAGGAAACATTCAACTCATTGATAAGAGTATTTTCCGCGGCAACTTCAGGGGTAAATGCACATTTTACGGGTCTTATCGTCGTTTCATTTTTAGCGTTGGATAATTAATTCACTTCGCACTGGATAAAACGAAAGTATTCGTAAATCGCGTTCATTCATTATTTCGTAATTTTTTATTGCCGGGAAATTTCGTTAATTGTTTAAACATTTTCGGGATTTATTTTGTTTATTGTCGGTTTGTTCAACGTTTCGATATTTTTTTCTTGCGCAGTTCCATTTTTTGAGAGTTATTTTGAGGGATTTTTAACTCGTTTTGGGGATCGTTTCTCTTCTTAATTTTCATCCATAAACCACTTAACTACTTTTGAACTTCATGCTGCGAGAGGTGCAATAGAAGTTGGGTAAAAGAGCCGCGAATGACTTGACGAGCATCCAACAACACTCCGCTCCACTAACTGACAATCCCGAGATCTCTTTTCTCAACCGTCAGTTCTCTCCACAAACGATAACTCCCCGCGTTTCTCATCTCTCCTCCAATCCCAGTGCTGCACTTCAATCGTTAAGAAACTCCAGCCTCACCCTCTAGCTCAGGGTTTTTTTCCTCATTAAGTCATCGCCTTTATCGCGCAATCAGGAAGATTATTCTCCACTGGATACCGGTCAGAGTTTCGGTAAATATTGAACTAGTGAGTGGAACTTTATTTCAGCCGAGTTTTCGGGGAATATCTACGAATCTAAGGGAGATAGCGAAATTTTTGTAACAACCTTTTTTGTAGAGCCTATTGAAGGCTACAAAAAAGTTACTGATAAAAATGTTGCTATCTCCCTTAGATTTCGAGATATTCGGGTAAAACTGGCCGATAGTAAGTTTAAGTTGTTTTTTTTGTTAGTTAGAAATTCAATAATTGTTTAGCTGATGAAGAGAACGTATTTATTAGCATGTTTTGTTTCGATCAAATAAATTATCTATTTTCTATGATTGAAAAAATTGATTGAAGTGAATATAACTTTATTAATTTTTTAAATCAAAATATTGCTGAAATGAGCAGAAAAAATTCCAATAAAAAATTGTTGCGATGTTATTTTAATTTTACGATTGAACCGTGAAATGTTCCACGGAATCGATTACACTGTTGAGAAAAAATACTGACTATATTGTGATGAGTTGAAGTATTCCAATATCTCGTGCCAATCAATCCCAAAAATATTCGAATAATTTAGTAAATTGAAGAAATGTGTCGCTTGTGATTTGACGAGTTACTTCTCACCTCATGTGAGACACTTCAACTCTCTCTTTTGCTTTTCAACTTTTGACATGACCGGTCAGTCAATTATTTCTCTTATCATTTTGTCATTGAAAGCTTTGAGTAATCGTATTAATTATTAATTGGAATAATGTCTTTGTCGCGTTTAAGATTGCTATACAGATAAAATTATAAAACAATTACAATAATGAAATAATTAATTAATACAATAATTAACAAAAAAACATGAATAATTACATTAATTTATTAATCATTAGAATAATTATAAATTATAATTATTGTAACATGAAAATAATATTTATATATTAAACGCTCGTAATTTTGTGTGAAAGAAAATAATCGATTTTGATAACTAAAATAAATTAATTAATAATTATTATTAATTATATAGTTCAAAGTAACAAATTTATCATTTCCATCGCACTTGTCATCTTTAATTAAATAATAATATCATCTAAATACCGAAAATATTTCAAGATTTGCTTAAATTTCTCTGATTTTTATCAATTTTCTTGGAGTAATTGAACTTAAATTGACATTTTCCATTGATTTTGTCCTCAAATTGTCAATATTGAAAGACGAAATACCTTTAAATGCCCTGAAATACTACACAAATTCTCCCTAAATCTTCAAACCACTGCACTTCAATTCTCAACAAACTCCAGCCTCACCCTCTAACTCGGGTTTTTTTTTCTCATTAAGTCATCGCCCTTATCGCGCAATCAGGGAGATTATCCTCTGCTTGATGCCGGTCAGAGTTTCTGTAAATATTGAACTAGTTGTGAATGGAAAATGACACGATGGCCTAGTGAGTCACTTAAACAGGTAAGAGTGACTGGTCATTTTTATTTGGGGTGATACATGGAGCGTTCCGTAATTTTGATTCTAGGACAGTTTTTCCCTGGACAAAATTTCCCGGACAAAATCTCCCCGAAAGAGAATTTCCCCGGATATAATCTCCTTGAAAAAGGAATTTGCGATTAGGAAACCGGATCCGGCCAAAATAAATATAACGATAATGTTCAATTAAAGGGGTTTTTATTACTGAATCGCACAATAGAACACATGAAATTATCGAGTCTTTAGCCTCAATGAAATTACCAAAGAATTAAATTCATACGGATTGTTATTTGCGGAAAATTCACCCCTCAGAAGACTCGTTGAAAGGAATTTTTTCGAGGAAATTTCGCAAAAAGCAATTGTCCGGGGAGATTTTGTCCGGGAAATCTCCCGGACAAAATCTTCCCGAAAAAGAATTTCCCCGGATAAAATCTCCCTGAAAAAGGAATTTGCGATTAGGAAACCGGATCCGGCCAAAATAAATATAAAGATAATGCTCAATTAAAGGGGTTTTTATTACTGAATCAGACAATAGAACACATGAAATTATCGAGTCTTTAGCCTCAATGAAATTACAGAAGAATTAAATTCATACGGATTGTTATTTGCGGAAAATTTACCCCTCAGAAGACTCGTTGAAAGGAATTTTTTCGAGGAAATTTCGCAAAAAGGAGTTGTCCGGGGAGATTTTGTCCGGGGAAATTTTTTTCAGGGAGATTTTGTCCGGGGAAAAACTGTCCGACTATCGTAATTTTCATCTGAATCTCCTGCAAAAAATTACGATACACTGACTTAAATTTTCCGAGTCGATTTCGTAATCGGTGAGTGAATTGTAAGTTCCGTAATTTTTACTGAACATTTCTCCCCGTGCAGATTGGGAAGGCCAAACAACGTTGTCTATGTTCAGAATAAATCTATAAATACACCTTTTCAAAAACGGCACCACTTGATACTCTATTTATTTATATCGTTGATCGGATCCCGCCGGTTTTCGATGCCAACGTCAATGGGCACTCCACATGCACCACTCCCGAAGGCGTCCAGCGAAACATCATTTCTCTCTTCTCTTTATGTTTTATAATGCCCGCAAGAACATCGTGCATGCATTATGCTCCCGTCGAATTAGCTTGGCGCAGGCCCAGATTTTCGGATAAGCCTCGGAACCGTACCCTTTTTTTTCGTCACGTGTGGGCGGCCGAGATACTAGGGCTTAGGCGGCATGTATGGGTGGATTTAATGCAATCAGTGAGTCGTGACAATCCGAACTCACCATAATCCTATGTTATTTTTCACTCTGTTGAAATGAATAATTTTGGATTTTCGGGGGTTAGGGTCGAGCACCAATTTTCTGGTGAATGACGATTTTTTTTTTATTCAAAGCAGAGATAGGCGTAATCATAAATTATAATTGACAATAATTTCATAAATACCTAATCAAGTAATAATCAATAATCGAATTCGGAAGATTGACGATTATTTGGATAATCTTTAATACTGCTCAGGAAATTTCCAATTATTTAATAAATGTTCTGCTCAATTTGTCATAAAATCAGTAGAAACTATGAATTTCAGTCCAATTATTCCGTGAAAATTCGGAGGAATTTGAAAAACTCAGGTAAAATAGAAAAAATTCCGCTCATTTTGCCTCAGAATGTTTATTCTCAAATCCGAATTCTAGAACTTTTGTCTTCCTGCTGCTGAATCCCGTGAATAATATATTTTTTCGTGATGTTGTATACACCTGAAATGAGTGATTTATTCATTAGTTCATTGATCTCTCTCATCGTCCATGCCCCTGTCAACAAAACCAAAGAAAATAAACTCCACCCAACCCCTTCCCCCTCCGAAAACTCGGACGTCCGCCAAAAAACGAACGGAGACAACAGAAAAAAAAAATAACATTGGAACGTGCCCGAAGTGATGGGATAATAGTTCTCGAGTGCCAGCCGTCACAAAATGCAAAGAACTTTTCATGTTATGTTTATACGCCGCTTACAGGCTCACACCTGGAGACGAGAATAGTAACCGACGGATTTCGTTGAACGGAAGTGTTTTCCAGTTCATCTTCAACAAAGACCCCAAAACTATTTCCACAGCTAGAAGCAGTATTCCGGATGAAAATTGCATGGTTACGTAATTTTACTCAGATTTTTTTACCACTTGTACGTAAAGTGAAATTTTACGGACGTTTCGCGTGCGCAAAATTACAATTTTCACACATTGCGATAAAAAAATAGGTTTGACACTCGTGGGAAACGTGTTCTTTGACTGTTGGCAGGGTAGCACTCGCCTTCGGTGAGCGCTGCACACCTCGCAGGGATCAAAAAACACTTTTTTATCACGCTGTGCGAAAAAGTAACTTTTTAGGCACGCGAAGCGTGCCACACGTTCTGATGAAAAATATCGTTCGATACTCATGGAAAAAGTATTTTTTGGCTCGTGGGATTGTATCGCTCGCCTTCGACCCGTGTTATAAAAATCCGACGAGCAAACAAATACTTTTCCGCACTCGTATCGAAATACACTATTTTGTGATACTGTCTAAAAAGTACAGTTTATGAAACAGCGTAAAATAGTTGTTTTCCCCACGGCGTGGGTAAGGTGAATTTTCGTGCGCAAATCTTGGCTTTGCGCACTCGAAATTCACTTTACACACGCTCTTGAACTTTACGCACTAGTAACATAATATACTATTTTGTGATAACTG